ACACAAAGTGTTAAAAAGTCCATTGGCACGTCCACACTGTTTCCTGAGAGTGGACTCGTGATGTCGACCAGCCTTTGGGTGTTCTTTCTACTGCAAAGTCCATCTGCTAATTCAAACATGAAACAAATCAATTTGCATGTTGGGCATTGTGCCAAGCTCTGGACTCCTGATGGTGAGTAAGACAGACTGGGGCCTGTCTTGGGATTTACAAGCTGGGAAGGCAAGACAGGCAAATGCTGTAATCAATGATAAGAAGGGCTATCAAAGAAACACACCGGGGTGCATAACAGATGGGCCTGGCTTCATGTGGATGCAGCAGAGTCTGAGCAGAGACTGGAGGAGGAGAGTGAGCCTGGCCAGAGGGCAGAGAGGTACCATGGAGCCTTAGAAAAGGAGAGGCTAGCAGAAGGAAGGTAGCCAGAGCTGGCACTGAGTGCATGTGCGCATGTGTACACACACACACACACACACACACACACACACACACACACACACACACACACATTCATTACTTCCACTAATCTTTTTCAGTAGCTCAGATAGCTCAGGATTGATGGAGTGATCCAAAATCTATAGACAAACTGGGCAGGTGACAGTTATATCAGAAATGCCTGAAGTCTGGTACCCGGGAAACAGCTTGGGTGTGAGAAGTTGCTTAAGGCCACCACTGAGGAGGTCCTCAGGATGGGATGCTGTTTGATGCATGGTATTTATTACCTTTGTAGTTCCACCTTGAAGAGCACAAGTCACTGGTAGAGAAGTTATCTCGAAGCCAAACATTGCTTATTTCCATGCTAATTTATGAAGTCTAAGTATGTGGCTGCCGCCGCCACTGCTGGAATGTTTGAAACTATTTTTTCTCCCCATGTAGAGAGACGCTGCCCTGCCCCCATATGTTTTGGTCAGGCTAGCCTAGGAGCCAAGCACATGAGTGTTGGTGGTACCTTGGTTATTCTGGTCACAGGTAGATGTCAGTCAAAGGGGAATGGATTTAGATTCTGGTCACAAGGTTCCTTCAGCCATTTAAGCTGTTTCACCTAGCCCTAGACTTGGTGGAGCAACGATGGTCAATGCTCACACACTCCAGATGTTTGTCCTGATTAAAGTCACAGTGTGACACCAGATGCCTGTAAACACTACTTTAGTGGCACATGCTAAAAATAGAAGAGCATGACAGTGCGGGACAGGTTGACACAGAAGGGGACAGAGGCTGCATTTTTTGTTAGTCCCCACGGGACCATCCACATCTCCATCGTAGATCTCACCATGTTGCCTAGCACAGTGGTTTAAGACGTGGGTTTCAGAGCCAGGAATGTCTTGCATTTGCATTTGAGTGTTATGAATAGCAATAGCTGAGCAATCTCAAGTTGCTCAGATTTTTGTACGTTGGCTTCTTCAGCTGTTAGGGGAACCCTGGGGACGGGACTGGCATCATGGAGTTTTTACAACTCGGTTCAGTTAATGCAGGCAAAGCACCATTACTTCTTCGTGTTTCCTCAATGGTGAAGATGTCTCTTGAAGGACAAGGGCTGCTTTCAATTTATTCTTTCACACTTCACTTCAAATCTATTTCAGTGCCTTGAACACAATAAAGACTGTTGAATGAAGGACACACATGAAAGCTTACAAACCTTAAGACTGACTTGCTTTAGTGTAAGAGGAAACTGTATTATTGGGGTTAATCGTTTTAGGACAATGATGTGTCATTTCCACCATGATGTCACCTCTGGCATTTTAGATCTTCACAGCTGGGTAGGACCTCAACAGCAACTCCCATCACCCCCAATTCAATCAGTCACACGATGTCTGTGACATCCATGTGGAGTGGCTAGCCCAAGACCCTCTAGTCACTCACCCACAAACTCTTCCTCCTTCCCGTGGCCTCTTTCCCTGTCTTTGCATTGGAGGGCCATTTGGTGTGAATAAGGCTGATCCCTAACCTCTTGCATTAGCCCTTTCAAGAGGGCTTGTGGAAGAAGTAGATGGGGCTGCAAATGCAGCCATGAAGGTTGTGTCTGACCCCTCCCTTACCCATCTGCCTCACTGATCTAGAATGGAGAATGAAAAGACCATTTAATAAAGTTACCAGGCTAGAGGGAGGAAATCGTTTTTTTTCTGCAGCTAATACTTTACCTCAGTATTTTAAGGCATACATGTCCTGACCATAACTTAACTGTGTTGTATCTGGTGACACAAGTATACAGAATGTCAGTCTTGTTATAATGGTTTCATTATTTTTAGGTCGCAATGATGGAATAGATACCAACTAAACAAAGGGAGGGCCTCTCTGAATGAATGGAGGCAGCTGTCTCCAGCTGCTCTGTGGACAGTTCTACTTATTTCAGTTCACGTCAGGAAAGGGTTCTAGGGAAACAGTGGTGCTATTTTCAACCCTCTGTAGGAAGCACATTTGCATGTATTGTGTAAGTTGTTACCAAACAACACTGTTCAAACAGTAAGCGAAAGAAAATGGCATGCATGCAGGATGCCAGAGCAACTGTTTTCAGAGATGAAGCACAGCAGAGTCCGCCCCCCCCCCAATGGCTTGGGCATATACAAAGAAGCAGGATTAGCCTGGATACATTTCATTTAGAACAAAAATGTCCAATGCAAACGTGTTCTTCACATCCTTTTTTTTTTTTTTTTTTTTTTTTTTTTTTTTTTTTTTTTGGTTAGGAAAAGCATAGAATGGGTAAGGCCCCGGGAGGAGAGTGGGGAAACCCAGATGGGTAAGATCTGAAACCCACAGCTGCATTTGCACAGCTCAAAAATAAGTCTGCTTTCAAGAATGGTTTCTATGCACACGGAAATCGAGAATCATGTAAAACAGTGACATCTTCATTTTCTAAGTTCAGAGTCCTTCCTTGGGCTACGTGGCTTTCCCAGTACTTCTAAGACTTAGAAGAAAGCCTTCTCCGTGCTGAGAGGCTGGTTCTGTTGGGAGGCAGAGAGAAAGCAAAAGGAACGTGGGTTGAGCCATGATGACTACTTCCATGAGCAACGTGGATGTTCAAAGGGAGGGTAACTGACTGACTACATGCTCCTCAATTCACGTAAGAAAGTGATGCATGATTTTCTTTATCTTTTTGTTTAAAATAAAACTTAATACATATGTTAGCATCAACACCAGGCTATTTTAAATCTCTCTTTCTTTCTTTCTTTCTTTCTTTCTTTCTTTCTTTCTTTCTTTCTTTCTTTCTTGTCTCTCTCCCTTCCTTCCTTGCTTCCTTTCTTTGTTTGTCTCTCTTATTTTGAGACAGGGTCTCTCTGTGTAACAGCTCTGCCTGTCCTGGAACTTGCTATGTAGACCAGACTGGCCTAGAACTCACAGAGCTCTGCCTGCCTCTGTTTCCCAAGTACTGGGATTAAAGGTGTGTGGTTTTGTCCAAAATGTAACAGTAACAAAATATTAGTTTGGTAGAATTTTCAAGACCCACTTTTACTCATGTTTAACCTGCCTACTTTCTAAGTTGTAGCAGAGGTGGTAGAGGAACACACCCTCCTCAACTACCAGTTTTTTTTTTTAATACACATATGCCTCAAAAATAGAAAGCAATTGTTTCCTTTTGCATTCTTTCATAGTTTCTACTTTTTAAAATTGTACATAGTTCATGCACTGCTAAGAAAAAGGATACAGTGGGCAAGGCCATGGCAGAAGAATCTGGGAAATGCAGATGGGCAAACTCTCAATTCCATAGTTTAGCATCAGCAAATTTCCAAGGAAGTACAGCCAATGTAAGTTAGTACCCTCCTACCCTCCAAGAGTTAAAGGGGAGAAGCTGTGATAGCCAACAAAGACCGAGGGCTTTGCTGTACCCCCCTGATGGAAATGGTATTAGTGGTATGCAGCTACCACCCTAATTCCAGGCTGAGCTGGCAGCTGCAGAGGTTGTCACTCTGATGTCTCTATCTCTACTTTCACTTTGGCCAAGGCCATCTTAGGTGCTGTGTTTCTTGGAGTAACAACTGAGATCTGACTTGTGACACTCTGTATTATCCTGACTTCTTGTCCAAGGATCTGATACCGAGCTGGGCCATTTAGCTCTCATCACCTTTGAGTTGCCTGCCAGGGTGTGGAGGGACAAACCTATAGCTTTCTTCCAGTTTGCTTGCTTTTTCCCCTGAGGATGGAACCCAGGGCCTCTCACACTTTATTGGTGTTAGGATTCAGGCATTGTGCTGGCCTGCCCTGTCACCTGGCAGAATGCACTCAGGCAGTACCCTGGCCAGCCCAGTTTCCTATGGCTGCTACATCACTCGGTAGTCTGCACGAAGGTGCAAAGATTTCTTTAAGAGGCAAACTCCGTGCACCTCCCCTCTTCCCACTGTCTCTCTGAGGTGGAGAGAGATCTGTCTGTCCATTTCTTCTCTCTCCCCCACTCCCTTCCCTTCCCAATAAAACTTCCTTCTCATATAAGTTCTGCATGATGGTGTGTTTGTTGTGTCACCACCCCCACCTTCTAGCCGTATTCCTAGCAGAAAGCCCCTCTCATTGCCATACCCTCAACCCTTGCTAGGGCTGTGTGTACAAAGCTTACTCTCAGCTAATGCTGTTTCCCATTTCCCTTTATTTAGATCTTATTTTAAATGGGCTTTATTGTGCTGTACTTGTGTCTCTACAACAGGCCCTCTTTAAACCCCGGGATAAGCATGCACAGACATATATATGTTGGCAAGTTATACTATAATCAGTCTAGATAGAGGTGAGTCCTGCTTACTATATACATCTCAGGCAGAATAAGGCCAGAACCCAGAGATTCCACAAATAAGTTATCACTTCCTGACAATTTCATGTCCTCCCCAGCACAATGTTCAATTCAGGGGACTCTGATGGACAGATGTTAAAAATGAAAGACAGATTCAAAATTCCCCGGATGAATGCATTCTAGAATGCTGTTTCTGAATTTCAAGGAAGGTTCACTAAAATGTTGACTCTTCCGGGCTAAAAGCAGAAGTCTGGATGGGAAGGCCTTTGGGCATGACACACTGCCACAGACAGATAACCAGAGGAGGGATCTTTATTTCACAAGTTTCAAGATACAGTACAAAACGAATCTGTACATCTCTCTATTAACAGGGTTTGTTTACACAATTATAATACACTTCACCAGCCTTTACACTGCATTCCATTAAATACAAAAGAAATTTACAAAAGTCTACTATGGTGTTCCTTCACAATGCCAGCTTCTGTTCTTTAAGAACTCCCCCTCGACGAGTAGAGTGGTCACACTTTGATCATGTCAACATTGTTTTGTAAATAAAAGAGAAATAGTGTCAGATTGTTCCTCAATAAATAGTAAAGACTGCACATCTGGGTGGCTCCCTACAAGGAAATAAAGGTCCCTTCTTATGCACACAGTCAGCTTTCTAAATGTGTAAACAGTCTCTCTAAGATACAGATCATTGGTATACCTGGTTATTTCCAATTCTCTTGAAATCCCTAGTGAGTAGAGACACTTGGCTTCTTCCCAAAGAACACGACCCATCTAAAAACCAGACACTACAGCATCCAGGAACATTCTTCCCTCATATCTGAGCAATAACTGAAGAAAAAAAAATTTTTTTTTTGCATAAGATAGTTTTCTTTTGCTCTGGTTATTTCTTGTATACCTCTGACCATAATATTGTCTAACACACTTTAGAGTCACTGCCAAATACCAGTGGTTTCTGGAGTAAATACGAGCTTGCTCTTCTTGGCGGGGAGTGGGCCGCCAGAAGCATCTTGTTCTGAAATGTACATGTGAAGTGTTAGTGCAAACCCCTGGAAAGGAAGGTTTCTAAGACAGAATCAGACACTGGTGCAAATGCCACACACATGAAGAATTGAGGTCCGCATTTGGAGGCACACTTGCCTGCTCCCAAGCACTAAGGAGCAAAGAAGGGAGAGAAAAAAAACCAACCAACCAGTCAAACAAAAACAAAATTCTATGTGTAGAATACCCAGCCATCAACCAGCTTGTTATCAGATCCTTGAAGGAGGCCTGTAGCGTTTCTCCATGGTAGAGACAAGACAGGTGAGTGGTAAAATGGTGAGAAATGAATCTTACATTCAGAAGAATAACAAACCTTCAAGGATATCAAGACTTAGGACTTGTATTTTTACATTAATCTGGTTTAGGTGTTAATGGTTTTTTTGAGAAGAAAATAGCCTTTGATTTACCTTTTTCTGTGCTTTCGGTTAGTAACCAAGAAAACCCAGAGACCAGAAACAAAAACTTCAAACTAAAAGAAAGCCTTCACCTTTGCAAAATACCACCAAAGTAAAACTCGTGGTCTCAAGACTCTGAAATAGCTGGCTACCCAATGAGGCAGGGACACAGGTGAACAGGGGCTGAACAGAGGACAAGACAGACCACAATAGGCAGCAGGAGGGATGGGCTACAGAGAGAGGGAACAAAGAAGCCACACTCTATCTGTAAATCTAAATCCTGATGCTAAAACTCCTGAAGCCTGGAGTTGGCGTAATGTCACTGACATTAACTAGCTTTATTGCCACTTTATTTCAAATGGATGCCATTAGTAAGTACTGTGCATTATTTTTGAAGAGAAACACCAAACCCAATTCCTATTTGCTTATGTACCATGTCCCACGAGCAGGAAGAGACCGGGAGCAAAGCATTTTGAGACCATCTTTGAAAGAAGCCATTAAGAACTGAAATTATTTTAAACGTACTACCCAGATTTCTGGGTACAAATGACCCAGGCTGGAGAGAAGGTGGAACAAGCCAAGGGAAGGCCATCTGCAGTATTAACAATAAACAGACAGCAAGGGGCAAGTCTGCTGCACGAAGAACAAGACCATGCTGTCCCTTCAAGCCTCAGGTAGTGCATTCTAGTTTAAGAAGGATTTTTTTTCTACATACTCTCTGAGGGGAGGAAAGATGGACACCAAATGCTTCTGTCCAAAGACATACTAGGTGGGTGGTACAGGAAAACCACAGAAGTTGTAACACCTTAGAGAGTTCCCAACTATTGGTTAATTTTTAGAGACTGGGTCTTGTTTTGTTGCCGAGGCTGGTCTTGAACTCCTGGCCTAAAGTGATTTTCCTTCCTCAGCCCCACAAGGAGCTGGGACTACTGGTATACCACTGTACCCAATTCCTCTAAATAACTTTAATAGTGCCTTCTAAATGAAGAGCGAGCGCCGCCACCATGGGTTATGCTGGGCTGAGGGTGGGGTGGGGTAGGGAGGAGAGGCAGTAGTGACGGCCCTGATTTACCGGACCACTCACAATCTAATCTTTAAGCACAGGACACCGAATAAGCCTTACTATTTACAGGTGCTGCCCAAAGCAACATTACATTTTTGAGAGGAACACACTTACTGCCTCTCAAAGACCCTCTTCTATGCACACGGCCTCTCTGTGGCCACCTCTTCAAATTTGGAGGCAAATATCTGGGAAGAAAGTTTGCTTACCAGATATCCCATAATACTGTAAGCACACACAAAGTATACACTTTCACATTTACAGCCTTCATGTTCATTATAGATGAACTAAGTCTAGTTCTGATTATAACCCCAACATTCAGACCCAAAGCGGTACAAACACCACAAGTGGTAAACTCAAGTTTCCTGGCAGACGGGGAAAGTGTACAGGTGACTATGAACGGGTTGCTGGCTGATGGGCGCCGCCACTGGATTACACAAACCACCCATTCAGTTTAGGCTTTAATTCTTTCACGTGGGTGATTATGGGAAGCTCTCATTGTTCGTTGTTTCTGCGTCTATTTAAGCGGGCAATGCTCAAGTGTAACAATAGCCTTAATTTCCTAATGTTTGCAACAGGAGGGTGGTGATAGGACAGCTAAGCGAGTGGCTGACTTTCTACAGCCTCATAAAACGGTCACAAATAAAAAGCTACCACAGCATCCAGAATGGTCTCCCTGTGTTCGCCATGCAGTGGTTCTAACCTGTCCTTAATGATCTGAGTTTTAGTATTACAAGGAAAGTCACTGCCTGCCATATCTTGACAATAGTATTTCATATTTGAAGATTCTCAGAGGGTTCTCTGTTCTCTGTACAGTAAGAAATGAAAAGTAAAACGAAACCTGGGAAGCAACGCATCACCTTGTGGGTGGGTGTGTCTCATCCATCCCCCTGAAGTCGGTTAAGGCTGTTTTCTGATTTCTCCATTAGTCCATCCTCTGGCTTCTGGACTATTCTGTACACTCAAACCAACAAGCAAATCACACTGAGGAGTTGGGGGCAAATTCCTATGTGAGTGCAAGGAGTCAGTTCACTGAGTTTTACTTCTATTCCATTACAAGAAGTGAAGTTCACAAAGAATTCTTTAGCAAAGCCTTTCAGTCTTCGAGGAAGAGTCTGCTACGAAGTGTCACAGTCGCCAGTATAGGAAACCGCTCAGTAATCCCTTTTAATATAGAAAGTGCCAAATGTGTGTGCTTGCATGTAGTCTGGTCAACTTCCCCAGTTACTGCATTTCCCACACACCCTGAAGACGTCCTGTTTGGCTTGTTCTGTTTTAAACTTTCAGGCAAGTTCTATTCTCAGACTTAAGCATGTTTTTATGGTTAAACTTGCAACTAACTGAGTTTTCCCAGGTCGTCAGGACCGTAAAGGACACTGATGCAGGAGCTTACACGCACTGAAGGATGACAAAAGGATCGCACAGGAAAGATAGTTGGGCACAGTAGACATGACTCGAGTGTGTTGTGTATGTTTCCAGGAAAAAGAGAGAAAAAGAAGGAAAAAGAGGAAAGCTACTGAGAGCTGTCATTCCATATGGCACTGAAGCAAACATTCACTGTAGCTCCAGCGAGAGCTACTCGTCCCTGAAAAGGAAGGCAGCAGGCTCTAAGCAGCTTCTGGGATCCCACACTTCCTCGAGCCTCTTCCAGGTGGTGGCCACCATCCAGAGCCTTGTGTCAAATCCAAGTGTTCTCAGCAAGCAGCTCCTTAGTGGTCGCAGACCCAGGCAGGTGTGTGGCTGCTACTGTGGTGGCTGCTGCTCTGGTGGTCCTTCCTGCTGGGGAGGAGCTGGCCGTGGCCCTGGGGGCCTGGGTACTGGCATATCCTGGTGCTGTCTCTGCCTGTAAGCTATGACTGTACCCAAGAGCAGTGCAATGATGGTCATGAGGTAAAGGTCCCACTCAGGTCCCAAAAGCTGGTCCATATCCAGTTGGGTGAATATGTCTCGAATCTTAATGAGAACAACACAGAAAGCATTATCACTTCAATGTCAGCCACAGAACTCTGAAGACTGGATTCTAGGCCACTGTATGAAATGGTCCTAACAAGGGTTTAAAACTCTTCAGTTGAAGCCCACAATGTTGTGTCTCAAGAACTGAGCTGCCGTGTCCTAACAGCTGGCAACATCAGATGTCTAACCCAACTCTTGCCACCAGAGATCTAATTCGGCAATTCCCAGCTATTTCTCATAGTAGACATTTGAAAGGATCACTGGGGTAATAAAAGAAACTCTAAAAAACAAGCACCCTGGCATATCTTTAATCTGTCCATAGTGACAGCAGGCCAGCCAGATGTACTTCTCCCATGTAACTGAAGACTACAGGGATCCATTGGCTGAACAAATGCCTCTTTTTTTTTTTTTTTTTAGATCCAATTGCCTGTGCTTCCTGAGTGCTGGGATTAAAGGTGTGCATCACGACCACCCACTTTGGCTAAGTTTTAACTGAAATGTACACTATTTCACATGTAAATTTAAACTTACGAGTTATAGTCTTAGTCTATGAAATTTTGTAAAATTGTGTTCAAAAAATTCCTGAAACACATATTTGTAGGTATAGGCACTAAATTTTCTAGAAAAAAAAATTATAGGAAACTATTGTGTTCCCTGGGGGATTTTAAGCCTTTTAACCCAGTCTAGCCTTTTTTTTTTTTTTTTTTTTTTTTTTTTTTTTTTTTTTTTTATAGGCTAGCATTCCTTGCTCTTTTTTTTTTTTCTTTTTTCAGTTGGAGAATCTTACTGTCCTCTTTGTAGATCTGCATAAAAAAATCAGCAAAAGTATCCTCTCCATGGCATGAAACCATATTAAATCCTGGACTTCGATCACTTAAGAAAAGTTCAGGGGATGATGGTCTGGGATAGCCCTTGGGGAGTCAGAGCTGCCTCATGTTGGCTGGGCATAAGCCAGGCAACTGTGCTGTGCCCAAGTCCAAGCCCAGTCCTTACTGTCAGCTGGTTAGAGTATTTGGCAGAAAGTATAGCACACTGGCTCATGCTACCAAGGTATTCCAAGGAGTGACATTATACATATATAAGAAACCAGATGGACAGAATCTAAGGTGTCCTGGGTTCTGGGAATCATGTATGGAGGACCTTGGTTGTGTGGGTTAAGGTGGGAGAGAGGTCTTTGTTAGTGTGGGAGTAGCATGGCTTACTTCTGCATCTACAATGCATAGGGAAAAGCTGACCTCCAAGGCAGGTCTAATGAAGCAGCACCATCTGTTCTCAGAGCCATTTAAGAGTTAAACATCATCCTTTCGAAGTCTGGAATGAACTAAAGGTTCATTACCAGGGCTCTCAACATCATAGCACTTCCAAGGAAAACTGAGTAGGAGAAAACCTACATGGAAGACCCAAGACAGTAAACTGTCTTGTTATTACAGTTGGTAGATTTGAAGGGAACAGTTAACTCACCACCTAGCTAGGTTCTATTACTCATTTAAGCAGTCAGGCTCTTTCAGAGACGCAAGCTCTATGGCATTTTTAACGTCTGCTTCACTGTTGGAAGACTCACAAGTCTCATGACCCAGTTCTCAGACTTCCCCTCTACCTTTTTCTTCTCACGGTACTGGTTTGAGTATCTGCCAGGCATGTGCCTGACTTGATTTTTATACTGTTTCAAAGTGTGGAGTTAGGTCTCAGCTTTCCCTGAATAAGAAAACACCTGCACCAATGACAAGTGCTTTAGTGCGCAGAACCCGAGAAGTGTTACTTGAAAACTCTGGCATTCACCCTGCCTGATGAACTCATTTGTACTTTACTTGGGGAGAAGGGGAGACCCTGTTTCCCCCAACTTTTAATCTCTGGGCCTGAAAAGGTGACATAATTTGTATTTTTTTTTTTAACTAAGAGACACAGATCACTTACATTCGCTTCCCGTATGTACTGTAAGAAATAGACGACACCCAATTTGCAGAGTGCAAGGAAGACAGGAACTTGTGCATCTGGGCTAGCCTCGGCTGCCATGTCATAAAAGCGTTTTGCAAGGTGAATATCCTACAGCACAGGAAACAAAGGAAAACTCATTCTTGTCAAACTATACAAAAAGTATTCATTTTGTTTCAGAGAAGTTGTCTTCCCTTTCAAGATCCTACTTAAAATTAATGTCCACTACCTAAAGGAAAACCCCAAGCTTTACCTGGGTAAAATTTCTGTAATTAAGTAATTAAATGATTTTGAAAATTTCAAACTAGGAATTGGAAAGAAACAACTCATTTCTTCCGTAACATCAGATTTTATGTGTCGATACCCTGGATCCAAGCACACATGCAACACATAGTATTGCTGACCTGGAGATTTCCAAGCCTCTGTTTCTAGCTACTCTTTCACTAACATTTTAGACAGTGTAGGCAGATCTGTTTTAGTTCACACCAGGGAGGAGTGTTAAGACACTCCAGCTGGTCCTTTCCTAGAGAAGTATGGGAATCTATGTGGGGGGAATCTCAACTCCTACTATGTGTTTTTCTGAGACAGAAATGCCTGGGGTCAACCCTGTGCACACGTAACCTGTCTCTGCAAAGGAAGGCTCCAGCCCGACACCTATTCCTTTTTCAGTTTATTGTCAGGGCTGGGAAAGCTTCAGAGGTCACTATGGCTAGGCCAGCACCTTGCTACACTGCTTAGGAGCAGGCTCTTGTGCTGACTGATACACACCCTCACAGGGAGTCTGAAGAGGGTGACCCCAGTCATTACCAATTCTACCCTAGGTGGAAGGACAGGGATGACGGACTTCAGAAGAATGCCAACCTTACAGGACATAATGCTATTACACAGGGGAAAGGAACACCAGAAATGACCTCCTCCACACACAGATTTCAGTAGAAGCTGTTACTTTCAGCAAGTCCTTATTCTCAGCCCTCAAATTTGTCATTTGTTAAAAAGAAAAGCACTTTCAATTAATAGGAAGAGTATGGAGAGTATCCAATTAAAAAATACACAATTTAAACATTTTTTGACAACTGAATCTTTCAAGACTTTGGATCCACCCTTATGTGCTACCACAGACTTGGTGCTGTGGATGATTTAACAGGGTAATTCAACCCTATCAAACCGCATCCTGCATTACATTTCCAATCATCACCAATTTTCATACTTTAGACTGACTTTTGCTGTTGCTGTTGTTTTGAGACAGGGTCTCGTATGTACTTGGGGAAGCTGACCTGGTCCTCTTGTCTCCCCTTGCTGGAATTACATGTTGGTATGTACCACCATGCCAGCTGCACTGGTTACTGTTTAGTAGTTTAAATGCTTGCTTCATTTACAAAGCAGGAAAAAAGTGGAAATGGTGTCAAGGATGCCTTATAAAGTCAGGCCATGTAGGAGTTATTGTGAATTTTGTATCTGATTATTTGTTCTCAAAAGCTGAACCGAGGCTTCCTTCCTGAATACTCTAACTTTTATTGTAGTGCTTGTTTCAAAGTGTACAAGCAGTAATGCTTTCTCAGAATTCTTTTGGGGTAGACAGGCAAAAACTTAGGACCATTCTAAAGGAAATCAGATTTCATTAGAAAGGTGAAGACATCAGTTGAAAAGATTTTAATCCATTTCAGAATGATTCAGAAACAATGGCATTGATTGAAGGTGGATATAGTTCCTGGACCAAAAGGCTACCACAGGGCAGTGCTACCCAGAATGCAGCAGTGCTCACACTCACATGTGTGCTGGACATAAGATGCAGGGACATGCTAGAGACCTGCTTCTCATCCTGTGGCCCAAAGTCTGACACAATTCCAGGGCAAGCATCTCCCCTTGTCTTAGCAATGCTACTAAAGTGTCAGCTTTGACACCACACTCACCTGTTTAATGCCTAGGCCCTTCTCATGCATGTAGCCCAGGTTAAACATAGCTTGGGCACTGTGTTGTTGCTCAGAAGCCAAGCGATAATGAATAAATGCAGTCTCATAATCCACATCAGTGCCAAATCCATAGAAATGGTAGTCTCCAAGTTTAATTCTAGCCACGGTATAACCTGAAACAAAAAAGCATGCTTAAAACAAACATTTTTAAACAGGTTTATATAAAGCAGAATTTTCATTTGTACTGGAAAAACTTTAAATGGATCCCTCAGTCAAGTTCTACAGTCAGTAAACATTTAGAGTAGACATTATCTCTTCTGCAGAAAGCATGTGACACACTCACAGAGAAGTCAGCCAGGTGGGTGGTAACTCTCTGTCTTACTAATGCCACCCTTCAAATGACATGCTCCATTTATCATGTCATTTAAATTTAAAACGACTGTTCAGCTTGAGCACTGTGTGGGACTGGAGAAGGAAAGGCCTAATGTGGAGAGGGATTCGTGAGGAAACTATATTAAAGAAAAAGTCGGGAAAGGGTAAGAGTTCTTTTCCATTTCCGGCTGGTTTTCTATTGTACATTCTTCTGTTCTCAATTTATACAGCTGGCCTGAAGCTAAAAACCAAACGGTGATGGGAATGTCTAATCAAGGATGGCAATTCAAATGCTCATCTAAGAATGAAGAGTGGTCACAAGCAAGATAAGCTACAGTGTCTCTGAGTGTTCATGAGAGATGAAAATCAGCAGAGAGAGGGATCCTGGGTAAGACTCATTCTGACAATTAGCCACTCACCTTGAGAGGCGGCCCTGTTCCAATGCAGCAAAGCTCTGGGGTAAGTCTCATTCTCACCTACAATGGTTGCTTCTTCTTCAGGAAAGATGGGAAACAAAAGTCAAGTGTTTTCATTTGTAATCTAGGGTGACTACATGGAGCACAGCAAATATGAAATTAAGCTAGTATAGAGAGTAAATAAATATTAGAAGAAGATACTGAGTTCAAAGGAATCACTGATTCAGGACTTGGTGGAGCAGGTTTTAGCTACAGCCTGATACTGAGACTAGCATATGGATTTGGGATGGGGAAAGGGCAGTTTTGTATTTATTTCATTTTGAAAATATATCCCTGAAGGTGGTTAGATCTGCAACAGGACCAAAGTGGATCTTACTCTGGTCAAGGATGAAGGCTGAGTTGCTTTGTGCCACTTCGTAGCCCTGTTCAGCCAGCAGGAGGTACTGGACCACTGCAGCATTGTAGTCCCCGTCTTTATAGCTGTTGTAGGCAGTCATAAGCCTCTCCGACCAGCGGCCTCGCTCACACACGTTCTTAAACAACTGTGCGAAGAGGAAAAGAAAAGTGACATGTATGTGCTAGAAAAAAACCTTTGAATCGTGGCTATAGGTGATTAAGTTTGCCCCCCGACTTGCTGGCAGCTACCTTTCCTTACCCTTAGACGCAAACACACTGCAACTAACAGCAACCTACATATCATTTACTGTGGCTGGGGCTAGTCTAGTGAGTTCTGTGTAGTATAGATATTTGCACATTCTTCTACCTGAGGAGCTGTTCATGAGGTGAGTCCTATTAGCATCCCCATTTTACATGAGGACAATAAATGAAGCAAAGATTTCTAAAACCATGATAAGCTTTTACCAATATCCCTCTAGTGACAGGTGTGAGAACTAAAGAGAAGCAGTTCCAATTAGCAGATGCTGGCTTTGCCCTTTGCATACCTCCTTCAAGTACTCTTTGGTTTGACACTATATATCATAAACTCTGGAAGAGATACAGATACTGTTGATGCCTACACTCAGCCTCACAAACACTGCTTATTATAGGAACCAACAGGTAAGGAGGACAGTATGCACACATGTCCAGTGTCCTCTCTCGGAACACTAATGCTAGTGAGCTGAGTAGGACACATGGAAGGGGACCAAATGGAAAACGCAGGCCTGTTCAGTGGGCAAACTGGTTTCCTCTAGATGAGCTGTAGAAAAGCCCTCACCTCCACCGCAGTGTGACAGGACCTCATCACCCCTGTGCCGCTGGCATGCATCTGTGCTAGGTTATAGAAAGCCAGGATATGGCCTCCTTGAGAAGCCAAATTAAAATACTTCAAGGCCTGTTTATAATCTCTCTTGACTCCAATGCCATCTGCAAGACAAATGAAACAAAAGCAAATGCAGGGTGAGTAGAGTCTTAAACAGGATTTAGTGATGCACCAGAGAAACTTTTTCTAAAAGGAAAAAAACCAGTGCAAGTCTTAATTCTTACCCAACAATACATGCCAATCTCACCAATGCAGATTAATGCACCAATTAATATAGTAATGTAGATTAATATAAAATATAATGAGAAATGAGAAGCACAGTAATTGAATTGGTAGAAGAATTAATTCATCAGAATTGAGTCTCCCATTTCTATATCCTAGTGGCATCTAATGGTAAAGTAGTTCAGACTGTTAGAGCCATCATGAACTCTGTGATGATACCTACTATAGTACATAGAGCCAAGTTGCAGCTGCCCATCCACCCAGCCTTGTTCAGCAGCTTTCTGGAAATACTTGAGTGCCAGGTCATAATTCTGCAGAATAAGATGTCAAATGGTAAGAAAGCACAAAAGACTGATACACTTAGAAGTACAGACAGTCATTCTCTGTAAGAACAAAATATACATATTCTTAAGAGACCACTTTAAAAGGACCATCTTATGATTAAAAACAACAACAACAACAAAAAACCAAAAAACCCATAGCCATTAATGATCCAGGTTACAGGGGAGATAGGGTCTCATAAAGAAAAGCAAGAGAGTTTTGTGAATTAGTTTATATGTTTGCTCTCAGAACGCATAAACACAAACAGAATACTAGAGTAGGAACTAGGAAAAACTCTTTAACTAACCACCTCTTCCCGTTACACCTTAATTTTTCTTCTATTAAATAAGGAATATTATCTTCTCCTTATTTGTTCCCTTCCTGTGTATATTAAAAGATGCTACGTTCTTAGATCCCATAGATCATATGTACCATAGGAAAAATTAAAATACATTACTCTGAATTTTGTTAGGGAATAAATATGGATAAGTTTTTAAAACCCAGTTCTTAGTTTCAGACACAGAAAAGTATGTTGGTTGGAATGACATCATGATTCATGGGCATCTACCATGAGACAATGGCCAAGGACAAACAAGTGCTTGTAGACACAACACTGACATTTAGGAGGTGGTGACCTGGATATGAGACAGAAACCTGACAACTAAGAACTAAAGTGGCTTACTAAGGTTCATTCTTTGGAGACACTTGGCTTTCAGCGAAGGACTGGAGAGAAGAGAGGCAGAAGCTAGAAGGAGCAAAGGGCAGAAGGGAAAGCCTCTCTCTTCTAAATAGAGGAGATGTGAATGCCTTCTTAGCTTTGAGTAAAGTAGTGGGCAAGGAAGAAAATGGGAAGAATGCCGAGTGTAGAAAGCAGACACGAAGAATGAGAGACAACTTTGCCCCTCAGATTGTCCCAGAGATGGAGCTGGCCTAACCTAAGAAGACAGATGAGGTGTGAGGCATGGCATGGGAACAAGGCAACTCAGAGACAGCAGGAAAGAGCTTGGGCTTGCTGCCAAAATGGCTCTGCCCAGCTGAATGGGGAGCTACCCGATGTATACTTCCCGACGCCCGCACTGGCTGACTGCTTCCTAAACTCAGCATGCCACACACACTTACAACTTGAACTCCTCTTCCATAGAGGTAGGCCATTCCAAGACCGCTCTGTCCCACAGGGTTGCCCTGTAAACCAGAGAAATCAGACAACACAGATAAGAGCTCATTACAAACAACCCAGGGGAGGACAAATGATTTCAGAAGAAATAACCTGAATCATATTGAAGTCTGTTTTAATTAGTTGCCAATTAAAAACAAACTTTTCCCTTCTATTTAGAGTAAACGTAGCTTGACTTTTTAGAGGGCTAGCAGTAATTTGCTTTCAAAGATTAAAACATTAAATGACGCTAGGATCAAGTCTTGTGACCTGACTTATGACCATCATTGCCATGAATTTATGACACAAATATGACTAACATATTTCACCAAAATTAAAAGTAGGTCACATCTGGGGTATTTGTTCACTGGTCACTTCCTGTCCTAACAAAAAAGGAAGGCCAATGCTATGGAGCAGAGTCAACAGTCATGCATTAACTGCAACAGTGCTACCAGGTGGTAGTGATGCTTAAGATTAGTTTACTGACACTGAGCAAATAGCACTATTTTGAGATGCAAGACAGAAAATTCTAGAACTCACCCAACTCAGAGGGATGGGTGACATTAAAAAAACAAAAACAAGAACAAAACCATGTCACAGCATCCCTCAGGAAAATACTCACTGTGACACTGTGAAGCACAGTAACATATAGTTGGAAAGAGGTCATCGAACACACAGGAAGCATACAGGGTCTTAAGTATCCTGTCGTGTCGTCCCCCCACGCCTCCATCAAAGAAGTCTAAATTGGCCTTTAATCCCAGCACCCAGGAGGCAGAGACAGGAAGATCTCTGAGTTCAAGGCACAGCCTGGTTTATAAAGCTAGTTCCAGAACAGGCTCCAAAGCTGCACAGAGAAACCCTGTCTCAGAAAAAAAAGGCCTAAATCGTATACCCTGGTTATCAGTAGAACTAGATTTTGGAACCTTTTAAACTTCAGTATAACTGAGGTAGGGTATGTAATTCCCATTTTCATTGCTAAAAACCAGTAGTCTCCTGATGAAGAAACACTTTAAAGACTTTTAAACAGAGTTAACATTGCTCCACCTAGTTCCTAAGACAGAAACTGCATTTATTGGGATAGCTTTTCTGGTCAACTCATCAGGTATATGTAAGCACTTCCAATAGCTTAGGGCATGGGCTGGTTATCATCAATGCTGATTAATCCTGAGACACAGTCCACTCGTTAACCACTAGTAACACAAGCGCACAGGTCAATACACTGAGTCGGGAAGTCTCACCATGTCCGCGGCTTTCTTGAAGTAGTGAAGTGCTGTCTCATTACTCTGAGGGACGATATCACTTCCTTCAGAATACATCTGGAAAACAGGCCCCAATTTCAGGTGGAGTTCTCACCCTTTCTCCAGATAATTAGCTCTCATGGAATTACCCCACAAAGTTTAGAATTCTCCATAGGAAAGTGTAGAATTTAAAGCAAACATTTATTGGTAAATACTTATGTTTAAGTATTTGATACTCTATTAAATATACGGTTTAGATATAGATTTGAATATATGAAACAGGTTAATGACTGCCTCAAGAAATGTTTAAACATTTTTAAAAATTACATTTGCTCGTGTATGTGTGCTTGCAGGTGGGCATGCATGTAACGTGGTACACGTATGGAGGTCTGAGGACAACTTGTTCTCCATCCACAGTCTGGGTCCTGGGGATTGTCTTCATTTGCTGAGCCATTTCACCAGGCCAGGAAAAGACATCTTTAACCCAGGACAGTCAGGTGGCTAAAAATATGGTTGAGACCAGATGACTGCTTCCATTAGTATAAGCAGGCTGTTGGCAGTCACAATGTCTACTTTCCCCTTTCAACCACCAAGCTGCCCCAGAACAGGGCAAATGGTGCATCTGATCTAAGAGGTAGGCCAGGAGGTAGCCTGGTTGGTAAAAAGCATGTATACCTAAGTTAGAACCCCAGAGCCCAAGTATAAAGAAGCTGGGCATGATGTCATGCATGTGTAGTCTCAGTGCCTGTGAGGCAGAGACAGGCAGGTCCCAGAGCATTGCTGGACAGCTAATCTGGCCTCCTTGTTAAGTTCCAGGCCAATGAGAGACCCTGTCTCAAAAATAAGGTATATATTGCCCAAGACTATTTTTCTGGTCTCTATATACACACATATGCATGCATACCTACATACACACACACACACACACACACACACACACACACACTCATGTGTGCACAAACACAAAAACAACAAGTAACTAAGAAGTTATTAAATAAGGTATAAACACTAATGAACTACAGGATCAGGTAAGGCTTTTGAAGAAAGAAAAACAAATGGTCAACAAGGCTCCTCATTCATATACTATACTAAGGAAACAACACTAAAGTTGCTTTTCAATCTAGGATTAATTAGTAATTTAAGTCGGGCATACATGCCTTTAATCCCACACTTGGAAGGCCAGCCTGGTCTACAGAGCGAGTGCCAGGATAGGCTCCAAAGCTACAGAGAAAAACCCTGTCTCAAAGAACCAAAAAAAAAAAAAAAAAAAAAAAAAAAAAAGCCCCCCCGAAAATAGTAATTTAAGGAAAATGTAATACTGTTGGAAATAAAATGATTTTAAATTCTTAGCACCAACACACCAGTTCACGCTATCTAACACTGGAAGGTTTGCATGAAATGCTACAGTTCCCAGTTAGCTAGTGGTAATCATGTGAAGTCTTGGTGAGATTTTTCCTATCTGTAAAAATCCTTAGAATCCACCTGAACTTTCCTTACCTTAGGATTTGATCATACATGAACAACTGTCAGTTTATAGTGTATTAATGTAAAAAAAAAAAAAGAAAATAGAATTCCTCCCTGAAACGGAATGTATTCACTAGTTTTTAGATGTAAATGTTTCCTTGGTCCAAAATAACTATACTGAGAGGTGCTCTCACAGCTGTCATATTTAAAACAATGAAAAGATCTGCAAATGCCAGAAAATTCCCACTAAAGCATGAAAAGAAACAGACAACTGAGTTTTAGCAAAACCCCATGTCTAATACAGAATCACAGCCCTTATCATTGCATATAATTGACACAATCTTAGGAGCTCAGACAGTGAATACACTTGGGAGCAAATGTCTAAGCTGTCTGAGAAAGTGCTTCACTTGGCATTGCCTTAAGACAGGACATGATGCACTTACACTGGAAATTTAATTTTGTTGTTACATAACATAACTGCAGGGCATACATTACCTTTCCCAGGAAGGCCATTGCGTGTGAATTGCCAGCATTTGCTGCTAAATTGAAGTAGTCAAATGCTCTCTGTGAGAGAAGAATTTATAAAAATAATTAGTTTTTAACAGAATCTGTTTTAACCAAAACACTTACTTCAGGAACACCAGGAAAAAAAAATCTTGTTATATTAAAGTGCCTTAAAAACAAGAATATCCAGCTATCAGGATTTCAAGCAGAAATGTATATATCTAGAAGTTTTATGACCACAAACGAAACGTCTTGTGCTCCCCAAAGCTCACAGGTAAGAGGACATCTTTATTACAGTCAATGTGAATAAGCTTTAGGCAGCTAGGTTTCATTATCTACTAGTTGGTATCTGGGAGAAAGGAAAAAAAACTAAGAGACATTCACAAGGCATAGGGCATACTCTGGAATACATTTTCCTTTTGTATTACTAAGAGAAAAGGCTTTGGCTGCATCTGAAGTCATATAACTAAACCCACTGGTGCTGGAAGATACTCATTAACATCCCTCTCAACTCAATGCTAACACAGCCCACTTTTGTTAAGGTTCTTACACTACTGGTTTTATTCCTCACTCCTGTTGATGACTAATCTCTTCCCTTTCCAATCTTTTTTCATTCAAGTACATTCTCCTAATTTATTATAAGAAATATACAAAAAAATTACAAGACCCATCTTTTCTTCAGAGTTTCAGCTTCTCTTCAATGGGACTGATACCCATTAGCTACTTCATTCATGGCACAGCTTCCTCAGTGAATCCTCAATAGGACTTCACTCCATTCTACATGCTTGAGTGGCTTCCACCAACTACTTCAGAGGAAGCTCTTAAGCTATCAATAATCTCATGCCAAGAAGTCTCTCACTCCACCTCTCTGTGGCATATGATGTAGTCTATCATGTGAAGCTTGGCTTCACATGCCACCCTTTCCTGGCTTCCGTATCCCTCCCTGTCTGTATCTGCACCCATTATTCACAGCTAGTTCTTACTCTATCATCTGCCTTCTATCCTCATAGTTCTTCAAGATGCAACTGATGACGCCATTCTCATGTATGCTCTTTAAGCAGCCTTATCTGCTCCATGGCTTCACATGTCATTCAGATGCTGGCAACTTCTAAATTCATTTTTCAGAGCGCTAATCTAATCATGGAACTCACAAAGCATATGCTAAATCTGTCTACTAATTGCCTGTACCATGGTTCTAGTCCACATCATACATTCTTTCATATGAACCTCTGAAATACTATCCTCTTTGATTTCCCTGACTGATTGTATTTTGGGATTCTACTAACTCATTCTCCACATGGCAGCAAGAGTTAACATTTTCAAATCTTCATGTACTAGTTCTAAGAGTCCCCTGAAGTGCAGAGGTTAAGCTGATACGAGTCTGTCTCAGAACTACATTACATCCTATGATGTCAGCACCATGGGCATAACAGCCCTATTCCCTTCTGGCCCAGGGCCTGCGCACATAGTGTTCCTTTTGCCTGGAATGGCTCTTCCTCCAGTGTCAACATGCCACCTTCCTCTCCCTAAAGAAGTCTTCCTTGACAGCTGGCTGCTCCCCTCCCTTACTTATTATAGCCCTCGATTCTGCTTTGGAACAGCAACTACACCTTTAAATGCTTGCTATTTGTTGGTTTAGTCATTTAAAAAGAAACCAATATTCTACTGGACTTGAAACTCCAGTAAGGACAATCACCAAAGCTTACTGTCCAGTACTGTAGGAACTGAAATGTTTGCTGAATTAATGCAAACATGTGCTGGAAAATCCTTTTCTTTCTTTTGTGAAGCTGGTGAAACATCCTCCTGTTGTGTAGCTGCTTTACAAGTAAGCAGCACACAGTACAAGAACATTCCTAGCTCTTGCTATGCAAGAACCCTGGGGCAAACTCAGAATCCTGCTCTCTCATTATTTTTGCTAAGTAGCAGCGTACAGCATACATTTTAGTGACCATGAGACAATGACAGCTGCCAAAAGCTGCCCGATTAAAGAAAATCCACAGGCATTGGCATAGTTAGTGATATGTATTTTTGTGACAATTATTTTATTTTTTAAGATTTACTTATTATGGATACAGTGTTCTGCCTGCATTCCAGAAGAGGGTACCAGATCTCATTATGGATGGTTGTGAGTCACCATGTGGTTGCTGGGAATTGAACTCAGGACCTTGGGAAGAGCAGCTAAGGAGCTTAACCTCTGAGTCATATCTCCAGCCCAACAATTTAATTCTTAAAGTTGAAATAACTTTACTTAACATAGTTAAATGGTATGACTACATGCTAGGCTCTGCTGGGGGCTGGAATAAAGTGGTAGACAAGGCAGACATGACTGTGCTCTCTTGACCTTAGGATGTCAAGAAAAAGCTATACAACCAATATAGAGGAAAAAGCTATACAACCAATCAATTTGCTTCATCTCTTCTCAGCCTTTTGGCTAAGATCAAGTGTAGTATCTGTTCTTATCAGTTTAACATCTGATACGTCCTCTATCAAATCAATTTGCTTCGGACAAAGATCACAAAGAGCACATATTTTTCAGGCATCCTTTGTCATATGTGACCTTTCTCTGGAGTGGGGCTTAAGGGAGACATTATAGGTTAGTGTTGAGTTCTGGAGGATATATAGGAATTACTATATGAGCAAAGTGGCAGGGGTGGTAGTTACCACAGACAGAGAGGTTGACATTATTGGAGTCATTAGAAAGAGAGGCTCTTGATAGGTTCAAAGACCTTAGAAAATTCTATGTGCTATGACTTAGCAAGGACTGGAGAGGTAGAGGCTGCAATGAGGTCTTGGAGGTCATGGTAAAGGGCAAATCTGGAACCCACAGAGCACTGAAAAGTTTTAGGTGAACCATAGGATCAGGTGCTGGGTTTACAGAAACAGACAGATACCTAGAAACACGAGTGACAGGTGCAATAATGGAGAGAGGGAAGAGACGAGTGAAGTTAGGACAGAAAGCAGATAAAACTTGGTGAGTAGCTATAGATCAGATTGGAATAGTTGTATGCTTCTGATTTCTAATATATAACATCTTCTTGGCCCCGCATTCTTTAAAAGGCATCCTTTTTCATGGCTTACTTTTTTTTTTTTTTTTTTGAAAAAAATTAATTTTTAATTTTGAGTATGTGTGTGTATGCCTGAGAGTGGTATGTGTACTGAGTATGGGTAACTTGAGGGCCCTGGAACTGGAGTTACAGCGAGCTCTAAACTGTGAATATGGGTTCTGGGAACAGAACTCAAGTTATCTGTAAGAGCAGCAGGTACTCTTAGCTGCTGAGTCATCTCTCCAGATCCAAAAGGTGTCTAATACTTACTATATTACATACTTAAGAAAAAAAAATCAAGATGTGTATGCATGTTTGGGATAAGAGCTGAGTTTAAGAGTAATAAAATCTGGGGCTAGACACAGCATGCTGCATTCTTCCACAGAACCCGAGTACAGTGCCCAGCACCCACTCTCCCACCTGTAACTCTAGCTCCAGGGTCCATGACATCCTTTGCAGGCCTCTGCATTGGCACCTGCACACACATGGCATACAGAAACACACAGGCACATGCACACGAGATAAAAGTAGGGCCCTTCTGAGGTCTATCCACGTGTTTATCAGCCATCAGGTAGGTCTTGAGAGCTCACTTGTGACACAAGTTTAAGTAAGGCTGACTAGCAAAGATCACCCACACAGCACCATTTTTGCTACAATGTTAACAAAGCCCCCCAACAGGGTGGTTACCTGGTGATTCTGTTCTACACCGCGCCCTCCATGCAGATGCAGTTGTCCCAGACCAACCTGAAAAGCAACAAGGATGCTGTAAACATGAAGTGAGCATCTGGCATACCATTAAAATAACACCGACATTTGGCTGTAAAAAGCTCTGTGCATTAGTCAAAAGATGAAAAACCTAGTCTTTAACCCTAAGTATTTATTCTGTTTTAATTATCCTAAAATTGCCAAGAGCTAAAAAGGCAAGCTTTAAAATCAACAGAATTCTTCGGAAATAACAACATTCTTTTGTCTACACAAGCAGTGTTTGTGAGTAATGGGTGTTCACATGCATGTAAGGGCACAGGTGAGCATATATATGTAGGTGGAGACCTGCGGTGGATGTCAGGATTCTTCCTCAACTGTTCTCCATCTTCTTCACGGAGGTAGGTTCTCTCAACTGAACCCACAGATCACCAACAAGATCACCCAAGCTAGGCAGCTTGCTCTGGGAATCCTAGCCTTCTGAGTACTAGAACATCAGGCAGGAACCACACCCACCTGGCAGTTATGTGGGTTCTGGGCATATGAACTCTGGTCCTCACACTTGTACAACAAGTACTTAATCTATCTATCGAGTCATCACCCTGATTTTGCAAAGGTTTTTAGATGAATTATGCTGACCTCAGTGAACCAGCTCCAAAGGAAATACTAAAGGATACTCTAAGCCAATGAAGAGAATCTTTGAAGAAGCTTAGGCATGAAGAAATAAAAACAAAAGAATCTGTGAATAAATGTAAACTAGTATTGCTGTATAACAGAAAAACATGAGGTTCACAAAACCATGTAGAATTCAATTGTGCTCAGCATTGTTCTAAGATCTCAGCGTTGTCCTGGGAATGGTAACATGCTTATCCACTAGGCTACAGAGGCCGAGCTGTGTGGCAATGTCTAGGTAACACAAAGAAGGCCTGACTGTCCTGATCATGGAGGAGGAGAGACAACAGCAGCAAGTGCCATAAACAAGGTCAAGAAAACTGAGGAAAGGGAATATAGAAAAACAAGATAAAGGAAACAAGTAAGGAGAACATTTAAACCAACAATATACCCCAATGCAAAAGAAAGACTTTCAAAATGGACAAGATAGTTGCATTCTAACTTCCATGGGTAACATTCAGATCTACTATTCACTATAGTTTTAACTTAAGATTTCCTTCTGTGAGCCTTAAAACTACTCTTAGTACTTATTACTTATTTGCATATATCGCAAAACGTTGTGGTTTTTAATAGGAAAAAAAGGTGTTGCGAGCGTGGGATGTTGTTTTTCTAAAGGATCCACTGGGGATTCTAGAACAAAGCTAATAATTATCAGAGCAAAGACATTGTGACTTACAGATATGGGTGCTCACCCCTCCCTCCTGGGTTAAGTAAACAATGCAGCGAGAAATTCTCTGACGCTGATACACACCTGTGCTTGGACATCACCCTTCTCAGCTAGGAACTGGTAATACTGAATCAAATCTTCTTCCAGCATCCCACTGTTCATCCCTGGGTTTTCCACTTCATCAGGCAGCCGTATTCTCTGAACTACAGAGCCTCCAGTCAGGGAGATATCGCTAGCAACTGATAGAGGATGACAAATAGCAATGTGAGGTAAAGTCAGAGGAGCAGGTCCCCAGCTGTAGGAAGCAGATGTTGATAGACATGGTGCTAATGGTAGTCTACAGGTGATCAAATAATAATCCATTAACAAATCAGACTCCCACTACACAATGTTTAAGAACAAAATTCAAAAGGAATGGCTTTGTTGATAAGCACACTTCAAAGAGTCATTTGAAATATTTGAACTACTGTAACCAATATGTATTTAAAATTAATTGCATTTTTTTCCCCAGAGGGTGAAAGAGAAAATTAAAATAGGTACCATGATTGGCAACAAGACGATAATGGGTCAGTGCCGACTCACAACTCTGGAGGACTCCGATGCCGGCCCAGTACCGGTAACCCTGGAAGACACCTTCACGTGAGAAGACAACAGCACCACAGGGTTCTGTGGTGTTCTTCTTATGACACATAAAGCCAACCACACTCAGAATATAATTCTGCGGTCCTTCGATCCGCATACTCCAACAAGCAGTTCATAGCTAAGCATGAGACAAGAATATTCCTACAGCAACCACGTGAGTGTCAGGAACTTTACGAATGAAGCATGGATATAGTCCTCATTGGTTTTTCACTCAGAACCAGTATCAATCTTATTTTAGACATAATCTTAACAAGAATGAGGTGGTCTCACACTAACAAATGACTACAGAATACTGGGAGAGGGGGTCGCTGATTATGAAGAACACGAAGCAGGAAGGAACTGTCTGGAATCAGCCTGCATGGACTCAAAGCTTGCTAAGCTTTCAGCAGTCCTTGGTGTACTACTGTACAGTCACAAGTATAACATGGTCTAATTCAACAGTCACTGTCTAAGAAAGCTGGAAATTGAAATTATTTCATATATATTTGCCACACAAAATTGTTTCATATTTCTTAAAAATTTATCTGAGCCAGGTGTGGTAGCAAAGGCAGGTGGATCTCTGTGAGTTTATGACTAGCCTGGTCTATAAAGAGTTCCAGGCCACATAGGGCCACATACTGAGACCCCTGTCTCAAAACTACAACAACATCTATGTAAGGTGGTTTTCAGTTACTCTGTGAGATACATTACCACAGATTAAACAAAGACAGCATTAAAATCAGAGCAGAGAGATGCCTATAAAGAATATCTCCACTTATTTCAATTCCTTCAGCATCTGAGCGCCAGAAAAGGACAGAGTCCAAACTCCTGGGCATGACTGGGCTAATTTTTGCTGGATTCCTTCTGCCCTGCTTATCAACTCCCAGCATTCAACTCTTTAGGTTCTCTGTCTACCTACATATCTAATTTGATCTTAACAATTGCTCAATAGTTATTTTTGCAACTATCGATGATTTACCCAGCTGGCTGGAAAGCTCTACTGTCCTTGTCTGTCCTGTTAGTAACCAAATCTGGAGAGCCTTTCCCAGTGCTAGACTGGTTTCCTGCTTTGAGTTTCATGTCCACTCATTCCAGCCTTTACATTCTGGCACCAAGGCACTTACACTCATTTAAGGCACAGAATCTGTCACAAACCACAGGTCATGTGACCTATTTCAAACTGAACACATAAGAAACTCAAGTCCCTTAGCCCAAAAAGAAACTGGTGGGCGGATTCTGTGTCACTAAATGATGTAAGGGATTATTGTTATCAGCTTATACACAGTTACTTAGAAGTGTCCTTTAAAGGTCAGTTTTTGTATAGTAGATCCTTCATCAATTTAAATGCAAAATCTCTGACAATCCAATCCAAAAAATAATTCTGATAAACAATTCCAATTTACATAAACTTTTATTCATGTAGATTCAATGTGTTATAGCCATTAGCAAGAATCTGTTGGATGTGCACCTGAGGATTTGATTGGAAGCAAATCTCAGTCACAAAGACTGGGAAATGTATGGCTACTGCACACACTGGTTTTACCTTTTAATGTAAGTTGTCTTAGGTTAAAGTTCATACTTACCAAAACCATATGGGCTATCAGATTGCCTCCAAGGGCTCCGAAAGTATAATACACAAGAGCCTATGAAAAAGCAGATATGTAAATGAACTCAGGCTAGTGCTTATTCAATTCCAAATTTAATATACAGTAAGACTTCAATAACATTACCTTTGCCTGACTTGAATTAACACCAAGTCCAGAGGCGTAGAGAAAGCCAAGAGCCTGAGATAAAATGAAGAAAAGTAAATATTTTCATTTTGGTGAAGATGCATACAGTTTTACATCAAGAGTCAAGAGTCTTTAAATATGAAGATTTGAGTACAGCTATGCATGGTGGTTCGGTTAAAGAGCCAGATTAATACATTCAGCCTTTTACAAACCACATAACTAAGTACAACTTTAAGCAAGTCATCAAGTTTAGTTAGAAGGTTAATGGAAAGTTAAGAAGGTATTAACTAGAAAAACAAAGCTTAAACATGGTTCTTAATTCTTTTTCAGCTATAATGAAGATAAAATGTCTTTTGTGCCATTATACCAACACACTTCTTTCTCTGTAGGAGGGATGAAAAAGGTCAAAAGTGTCCCAAGATAAGCAATCTTAGGAATGAAGAGATACCAAGTTGTCAAGGAAGATGGTCACTTCACCAAACATGAATTCCTAAGGAAGCCACCATCAAATGACGTACTGATGAGGCTCTGCCTTCTCTTCTGTGCATCATCCTGATGACATACAAGTGATAAGGGCAGAGTGGCAGAGTCTGGGAGGCCTGTCCACATTTCAGCCTCCCTCGCAGTTAGGTAAGACAATGATCCTAGATATGGCTGCAAAGGAGGTCAACTGTTGCCCAGGAGTCAGTTTGCAAGAAAGCAACCCAGGCAGAAGGGCTCAATCTAATCTGGCAGGGCAAGGAGTACTCATCTGGGGGCTCTGCTTGCTGTATCACCTAAACTTGCTTAGCACAGAGAGAGTGCTTGGTGGGGTATGAATGCAGTGACAATGCAGAGGTGGATGGCTCTATGCAAATGCTGCCTTAGTGCCATCTGTGCCTCTGAAGGGCAATGTATGTTTAGATACAGGTAACATAAACTGATTTAATCACAAGGGGAAAAAGCTTCAGAAACATAAGGAGAACAGTTAAGACAGCATCTGTTTATAACTAAAATGAGATGAAGAAAGAGCAGCAGATTCATTAAATATTCACAGAAAACAATGGGTATGATTGTGTTACCATGAAGCCTTAAGAGGACTGTCTCTCACGTGCTAAATTCTACTATGGTTAGAGGGAAACAGGCATTTTTGTAGGTTGCAGAAATTATAATTTAGAGGAAAATCTATCTTTCAAAATAATTTCACAAATATGCATGTATTCCAACAATGTATGTTAAAGCATAGCTCATATTTTGATTAAACCTGAATTATCAAGTGCAGTTTAAATAAACAGGATAGTTAACTTAAAAATGTAAGTATGTATGTATGAATGTATGTATGTATGTATGTATGTATGTATGTATGGTATGGGTGCTTTGCCTGAATGTATATCTATGTATCATGTGAGTGCAATACTCTTACAGGCTAAGAGAGGTTGTTGGCTCTTCTAGAACAGGAGTTACCATTGTGAGCCACCTAATGTGTGCCTGGAATTGAATTCTGGTTCTCTGGACAAACAGATAGTGCTTTAACAATTAAGCCATCTCTCCAATCCCCCATCACATCCACCTCTTAAATCGAGGTACCAATTTTTGCATTCTTTATATTATCAATTGATAATGTAACCAAGATGTGTTATTAATGCACATAGTGTAATGTGGTACTGAAATTCACCTATAATTAGCTTAGCTAAAAGCAGTCACATAAATTGATTAGCCTTTAGCTGTGGTACTTGGCTCATAGGAAATATAGATAACAGAAAAATTAACAAATACATGCTGTGATGAGTACAAATACAGGCAGGACATTCTATAGACAAACTGCATTTACTTCTAATACAGAAACAAATCAATCACCCAACCAAGCAATCAAAGGGCTACATTGTAAATGACAACTAAAACGTAATGCTGTGATGAACATTTGTTTTGACAAAAATAAGGATAAACAAATTTTGAGCTCTGCTGTAGCAATATATTATGTGTAAATATATGGCTGGAAGACAGAGAGAGAGAGAGTGTGTGCTTGTGTGTAGTGTAATACTAGGAGATTGGACTTAGGGCCTTGTACATGCTAGGCAAATGCTCTTCTTGGCTATATCCCCAGTCCTAAAACATTTTATTTGACTTTTAAAAACAGATATCAATTGGGCTGGAAAGATGGATGGCCTAGCTGTTAGGTGTGCTTGCTCTTCTATCCCAGGGACCAGAGTTCAGATCTATGTGAGGTGGCTGACAACACCATCTCCTGGTCTTCAAGAACAGCCATAACACACACACACATACACACACACACACAATGCTCATAAAGTAAAAGACACCATATAGGTTAAAAAAATTTGAGGTTAACTTGGGGAAAAATACTATGGGGAATAATTTCAGATAAATAAGAATTGCTGCTCTATAGATTGCTCTTCATGTTTCACTCTCTATAGATTTAACACTGCAAAACTACAAAAGAAACTGTGGTAAGATATAGCTATAAAATTATCTTCATTGACCATAAATGTTCTCAGATGAAGGAAAAAAGTATCCAAGAAAATAAGTAAAATGTTGGTCTGTCAAAAAATTAATATATAGAGATATGCTGTCACCCAGTCTTCTATTGTTGACAGAAGTCAGGGCATAGGGAACAAATTGCTATCAGAATTAACTGCTGAGTACTGGAGAGAGACTGGAAGGATGGCTTAGCAATTAAGAGCATGTGTTGCTCTTTCAGAGGACCTGAGTTCAATTCTCAACATTTATGTCGCTTGGCTCCTGCATTCACATGCATATAAGTTCACACACATTCACATTTTATTTAAATGTTAAAATAAATTCAAAAGAGGTGGGGGCTGGAGAGATGGCTCAGTGCTTAAGAGCACTAACTGCTCTTCCAGAAGACCTGGGATTGGTTCTTGAATGCACATGTTGGCTCACAACAATCTGTAGCTCTATTTTCAGGGGACTGGATATCCTCTTCTGACCTTCTTGAGCACCGGGCACACAAGTGATACACAGACATACAAGTAGGCAAAACACCCATACAGGTAAATAACCCCCCCCCAAACAAACAAACAAACGCCCAACAAAAACAAAGTGTTATATACGCAGAGGTTCTCCATTGAAGCTGCACTTACAGTTTGTCCTTTGGGAGAACCTTCCTCAGTCAGTTTCTCAAACATCTCTTTAGCTGCCTGGATATTCTGTGTGAGGTAATCACCAAACAAAAGAGCGTAGGACACTCTCTCCAGGGCTTTGGTATGATTCATGCCTGCTGCCTTTTGAAGATACCGATATGCTCTTTAAACAGAAGCAATCAAACAGGAAGTCAGCTGTGTTTGCAGAACAGTCGTTAAAAGATTTTTTATTACTAAAATGTATCACAATTTTCTTATTTTATAATAAGAAATTCCTATACATTATTCCTACTATATCATGCTATTTATATAATGTAGAAAACATCCTGGATAGCTTGATTCAGCTAAGGGGCCACTTTCCCTTATGTCTACTATCTTGGAATTACCGAATCAAACTAACAATGACGAAAAATCTAATGAGCAGGCTCACAAGTCTTGCAATGGAAAATTATAATGTTAGAAAAATATTCAAAGAACTCAAAATTGCATAGACTAACACAACTAGCAGAAATCAAACACATAAAATGTTAAAATTCTTTTGGAGTGTTATGATTCTGGGTGAAACTTTCAAAGTAAAACAAAATGAAAAAAAAAATCAACACATTTGGTGACAATTCCTTTTGTTTGTTTCATGTCATTTTTGAATCAGGAATAGAGTATTCATTCTTAGTTCTTAGAACTGACTACAACTTTAATCTACTATTCCATTCTTCTCATTGATCAGCCTTATGGTCAATGTGTACAATGTTTTCATCCTAATAAGTTAAAGTCTGCCCAAAACATATTAAGGTTTCCTGCAACAGTACTTAAGAAAACTCATGTGCAGAAAAAGCACTCGGTGACTGGCCTCAGCAAGGGCTGTGCTGGGGGTGCGTGGGCTGCACAGTGCCACCTACTCTCTCTTTTGGCTCTTCCTATTGCTTCCATTCAGTATCTTCATCCCAGCCTGATAAATCATTTCTGCTTCCTGCATCTGTCGTCTTTTCGCAGCATCTTCTTCAGCTGACAATAAAATGACACATGCATTAAATGAATTTCATTTACCTGGTACCAAGTTCACTCATTGTTTCAGGTAGGAACACACACAGAAAGAAGGATCTTTTACTATTTCCAAACTTGACTCTAAAAACAGCTGAAGTGTGCCCTGTACTGACAAAGACTTTTACAAAACACAAAGTCACTCTCTTTTAGAGACAGCAAGTCCAGGCTGCTTTTGAGCATATTTTTGTGTTAGGGATGATGACTTTTAAAAATACAGTTAAACTAAAACTTTATATTAACTGCTAAGTTCACCTAAAATAATAACAAAAAGCTACCAGAGGAGAATAGCCAGAAAGCTGCCATAATATTCAAAGGTCACATGTACATTTACAAAATCATTTAATTATATAATTAAAATCTTAAAACCTGATTTTTATTAAACATAGGTCTAATTTAGTGTACAATGTTCAAGTTTATTTATTTTCTCTTCTTTTTCCGAATTTTTTTTTTTTTTTTTTAATAGATCAGGCTGCCTTCAATCTCCTATGTCACCAAGGATGTCCTTGAACTTTGGATCCTGCTGTTCAGAGTGCTAGGATTATGGCATGTATCACCACACCCAGTGTATGTGGTGCTGGGGACTAATCCCAGGGCGGTATGGCAAGCAAGTAGTCTATCAATCAAGCTATATCTCCAGTCCAGCTCATTACTTTTTCATACTCAGTATAACACTGAGAAAAAAAAAAAAACATAGAATAGTGGTGAGTTAAAAAAAAAAACTATTTTGCTACTTTAATGCACAGAAATTAGAACTCATTCTAAGACAATAAGAAGTGAGTTCTTTTTGTAATAAAGAAAGACCTGACATATTAAACTAGTCATGCTGCCTGCATCTGAAGAAGGCCCACATCTGATGCTGTCTTTTCAGGATGCTCAGGAGTCTACAGCCATGATATTAGAAATGGTATCTGGTATCACACTGCTGTCTCCAAAATACAGTTTTCCAGCAAGGACAGTGTTTACTTACAGGGTGGTTAACTATACTACACACAAATGCATATTTCACTCAAAGCCTTTAAAGACTGTACTTTTGGTTTTCTTCTAATCACTGTTAACATTTGCCATCACAGTCAGCTTCCATTATTGACGAATTGTTCAATAGCTTGCCTCAAGGATTTATAGAACTACCTGTGAATCAATGAGGTTCAAGTGTGAAAGGCTTAGTGATAGCTTGAAATAAGTATATTACATGCTCACAGCGCTTAAGCTGTTCTTTAAGGCTATGACCATGTCACCAACATTGATCCATGTGGAAAAGGACAGCTAGAAAGTTCCTTCTGATGTCTGGTTAATCTATGGGGCGTCTGGTAGTGGATCAGTATTTATCCCTAGTACACGAATGGACTTTGGGAGCCATCTCCACATAGAGGGATACTCTCTCAGCCTAGACACATGGGGGAGAGCCTAGGTCCTGCTCTAAATGATATGACAGACTTTGAAGATCCCCCATGGAAGGCCTTAAACTCCCTGGGGAGCAGAAAGGGGATGGGATAGGGGGCTGGTGGGGGGCAGGGGAGGATGGGAGGGAGAGGGAACTGGGATTGACATGTAAAACAAGCTTGTTTCTAATTTAAATTTTAAAAAAGTGGGAAAAAAGTGCCTTCTGAATGCTGCCCTAGATATAGAGCCCCAACCTGAGCAATACGCACTTTCACAGAAGCCCCACTTCTCATCTGTCTTGTAGTCATAGGTTGTGGCACACCACAGTCTGCCATCTTGCCTCCCATCTGATGTACACTCATCATATTCCTTATCCAGGAAAAGGAAAGGGAAGTGGCAGGGCTCCCCGTGTGCCGTACCTTCAATGGCAGTCAAAACTGGAAAAACAAAACACAAAAACAAAAGTCTAAGTATGAACCCCTTTGTGATGTATGGATTCAACAATGCCAAACTTCAGCTATCAAAATATGAATGCAAGGAGATACTTGGCAGAATTTGCAATGGGAGACAGAGCTAATGTGATCGGAGATGACTTGAGGTCAAGTCCATTTACTGAGCCTGGCTGACTACTCACATGTACTTAGACTTTGAGTTCTTAAGATAAAACAGCAGGGTGTTCAAAGTCTACTAGGAAACTGCCTAAAGGCTGTCTTGAGTTTGAGACTGGCCTGGGCTACAGCCTCAAAAAGCAAAGCAAAACAAAGCTAAGCAAAACAAAAAACCCAACCAAAGAGCTCCCCAAACACCTGCCTAAGGAGTGAACAAAAACCAAGGCAGACATGAGGGAATCATCTCTACTGCTAGGATCATTTTCCTTTTTTTTTCTGAATGGAGTACAGCAATTTCAACTATCTAAAGTTATACTGGGAAAATTTCCCAGACAAAATTAATCATTCACATACTACTCTGTAAAGCACTTTACTAGAATATTAGAGTACAGAATTTTATTATAGTACTCATCATATGTACTAGGGGTTTAATTATTATTTTTTCTACACTGTAGCTCCTACTATACAATTTAATATAGACCCTGTCATGTCAGATAATAAGTTCAAGAAAGGACAGCCCCTATTTACTGCTGACTCCCTTCCTCTGAAGGGCTAGGTTGTCCTTTGTTTTTAGTTAAACAAAAGACACATCTTAAGATTCGAATTTTAAAAATACTTGCAGTAATCTGGGAGAAACAAATGTTTCAAATGGTTTCATCAGGTAGATGCCACTCATCCTGTAGCAGCAAGAGATGTAAGTTCTTGCTGGTCAAGAGCTGCTGTTCTTGTTGGTCAGTCAGCAGCTCCAAGTGTGCCCTGGGCTGTGTGACAAAAGGGGAGTTTAACAAGTACAGCTACCATGCATGTTTGCATGTAAAGGGGCATGTACCTTCCTAGATTGTTCATATGGCTTTAACTCGCTGGTTCTCAACCTGTGGGTCACAACCCACTGAAGGGGTCATTTGACCTATTGTGGTTGTGTATCAGAGGTCATGCATATCAGATATGCAGGATACATTATGATTCAAAACAGTAGAAAAATTACAGTTATGAAGTAGCAACAAAACTAACTTTATGGTTGGGGTCACCACAACACGAGGAAATGTACTCCAGGGTCACAGTGTTAGGGAGGTTGAGAACCACTGCTCTAACCTGTTCACCACATTCCTTTTTCTATCAAATACATGAATAATAAAAGTCAACAACTTGCTTCTAAAATAAAGGAGTTCTATGATCACAGAGCGCTGGAATATTTCAGATCCAATGTCAAGGTTATCCTCAGTCTTCTACATAGACCTTTACCATTCACTCATGCCTGACATAACATCCTTTCAACTGTCAGATAACATCTTTGGCATACACAAACTTAGCAGACCATTAGCTTCCACCAACTCAAAAGCTACAAATGTCACCGGATAACATCTGAACCTGTAACACTTTCCTTCATTTTGTTTTAACTCTCCTAACCAGATACATCCCCATATTTACCATCATTTGGTTAAAAAGAAAAATGCATTGATTTGTGGTTTTCTTTTGTGACTATAAAACTTTATGTGGCTGCTTCTACACTGGAACAACCAATGCTTCCAGGCCGTGGTCACTAACACCTGGCTCAGAATAAATGTTCTCATTTCCTTTGGAGGGAGAATAATGTTTTGGGTCAACAGAACATAATCCTTTCCATCAAAGCTGGGGTGTGCTGGAAGACACTGCCTGAGTCCTTAGCCCCCCACCAGGTGGAAGGTCCTTCTCTGTCTTCTCTAGAGCAACAAAGTAGAAACACCTTTGTGACACTCAGCAACTCCCTTTCTCTAAACTTGTTTGTGCCTGCTGAATAGATTAAGATGCTGGTTATTCTACTGAATTATTATTTTTGTATTTTTTATTTCACCACAAGGAAAATGTGTTTTTTTATATGACATAATCAAAACAACTGGACAGTATCCAAATGTGAAGAAAAACCCAATCATCTTTGCCTGCCACTTCAAATTCTTTTTCTTGAATTAATGAGGCTTTGTAGAAATTCTGACTTTTTGTTTGCAAACTTGAAAAAACAATGGCTCCCCTGCCCCGCCCCCATTCATGTGACTGGAGTGTTTGTATTAATGTGGTTTATGCTCAACACCTGTTTTCCTCTTGGGAGTCTACAGTTTTGGCACATGCTAGGGCAAGGTGAATAAATGGCTAGTTCCCAGTCAAAACACCAGTCTCTCATGAGCTTCCCTGATGGCTGCGCCTCAGGTGCTATGCCACTGTGCTCTGTTTATGGGAGCTGGAGATATCAAGTGAATCCTATATGCAAATAGAGCCCTGAGAATTTAGGCAAAAAGAATTTTTCAGCTCCAACTCCCCAAATACCATATAGAGTATAAATGACTGGTTTCCAAACCCTGGCCCAGCTGCCCAGGACAAATGACTTCGCTTCCAGTTTAAATAACTGTGAAGCACTGGCTAAATGTGTGCTAAATGCACACTGCCTGGCTTTTGCTTCGCCTTTTCTATAACTTGCAACATTGTTTATGTGTTGGCAGATTGAGAATTTCTTTCTTCCCAGTTTTGGACAAAACTGTAAATAAATTAAATTTTATGTTTATGCATTATGCCTGTCCTTTAGGGTGTGTGTGTGTGTGTGTGTGTGTGTGTGTTGCACATGAGCGCAGTGCCTAAGTGTGTGTGTGTGTGTGTGTGTGTGTGTGTGTGTGTGTATGTTGCACATGAGCGCAGTGCCTAAGGAGACCAGGAGAGAGCTGGAATTACAAGCAGAGCGCAGTGCCTAAGGAGACCAGGAGAGAGCTGGAATTACAAGCAGTTGGGAGCTGCCTGACAGATGCTGGTCAGGTCTGTGAGAGCACAATCTGCTCTAACCTGCCTGAGAGAGGACCTCAGGCGTCTGTGTTTAGTTTCCTCTACTTGGCCACATGCACCCTTTCCCTTCACTGATTTTGCTTTGGGTCCTTTTGTTGTGTAAGCGCTGGCTAAGCTTTGATTCTTTCTAGCACATCACCAAACAGTCTTGGGCACCTCCATTCTTGACCTCTCACTTGTGACTTTATAAATGCTAGAGGTATCACTGTGGTCAAGAGAAAGTGAAGAAAGAATATGTTACTGAGACACAACTTCCTTGGTTTTTCCCAGCAGCATGGGCTGAACTTTAAACCCCAAGACTGGTAACAAGTCTCAGTAGTTGTTGTTTTGTTATGGAAGGTGTGGACTGGCCTGTTTAAGGGGGAAACAAGAAGAAAAAGAGGTGGTCTACAGATGGAGATATTGTTTAGGACTTCAAAATTCAGGGTTTGTTTGCGAATTCACTCTTGTAAAAGCTGAATTCTGATTCCTCCCTCCCTCTATCCCTTCCTCCTTGGTGACAAGGTCTCACTGCATAGCCATGGCTGGCCTAGAGCTCACTAAAGAGACCAGGCCTGCCTCTGCCTCCAGAGTGTTGGGATTAAAGGCTTGTGTCATCAGGGCTGGCCAAAGTCTGATTTCTTAGGGGGAGGATGATTTTCTAGCTTGCATGTATCTTGAGTAGGTCAGTTAAGATTCTAAAGATTGACTAGACAAAAAGGGCTCAGGAAAGCCTGGCTTATTCAACTCCCTGGCCCTGAAGCACCTTGCTGCTGATGCTGCTAACACCTGGTTTCTTTTGAGCCCTGAGTTTAGAGTCCTTAATTGCCTGGACTTGATTCTGAGCCAGAAGCCAATACTGCCTAGGACAGGCTTTCAGCCCCAGTGGGAGTTGTGCCCATTTGCAGCAGGAATGAGCTCAATGAAGAGCACTGAGACTCCTGCAGAGCTGCACATTTAGGACACTGCTCAGGGGCCCTACAGCTGTGAAAAAGCCTCATTTTGGGGGGGGGGGAGCTGGCTGGCCTGAATGGCCACATTTACATGCTCACAGTGAAGGGCTCAGTGGGTGCTGGGACCCCTGAAATCCAGCTGCTGGCAGCTGGCCACTTCTGATACAGACAGCACTGTGACTGTGACTATTGCTCAAAGCCACAAGTTTGGAGAAGGTACACTACATAGACCATGATCCCCTGCTTACTCTAGGCAGGCTGACCAGATTCCCGCAGAGCAAGTCTCACTGCTGCTGACCTTGTTGTTCTCTCCCCGTCAGCTGCAGTGTGCAGTAATGGACTGATGACCACTTCCTGTTCCACACAGCTCAGGGAAATCTGAGTAATTACAACTCGCCTCTGAATGGCATGATCAAGATGAAAGTAAGAGAATACATGAATTTATTTTCAGTGTTTAAAAATTTAGAATTTTGTTGTGTTCAGTTTCTGAGAACTATGTCATCCTGGTGAAGTTACACAAAAATGTTTTTCTGTGGTACTGTTCTGTGCCTCTTCCATATAACCCCTCTAAACAAATTCTATAGATGAAACTAGGGAATGGCTGAAAAAAAAAGTATACTTATGATTTCTGAGCAGAATTACTGATTTTCTAACAACTGAGCAAAATAAACTGAAACTCCTGCGTGGAGGAGGCAAAAGGGAGCAGAGGACATTCATGATCTCTAGAAACTGTTTCTAGAAGCTGCTACTGCATCCTAAAGACAGACTAAAGCTATGAGAAGGCGGTGGGTGACCCAAGCTTCCAGTTCACACACAGAAATCCTCCAGATCCTTCTCAGACTCATGAGTAGATGGACTGGGTTCTAGACAGCACAGCCATGTGAAACCTCCTAGCAAGTCCTCTGAAACCAAGGACCAGAGTAGGAAGACTATGAAAAGCCACTATGGTAGAAGGTCACATTGTGCCACTTAATGTGCATCCTGCTTGAACAGACCACTGTCAGCTCATTGGTTCCATGGCTGTCATGTGTACCATATGGGATGGGACTTCTCATAACACTACCTGAACTCTGGAAGGTTGTTGGGTCTACTTCAATCTACTAGACATAGTAAAAATGTGTCTGTACTGATGCTTGGGCCAGGTTAAAAAGCAAAAATGTTAAGACAGAAACTTACGGAGGAAGCCACCTGGCTTTCTAACAGTCTATTACATCTAATAGGATTTGCTGTAATTCACTAGAACAGGACTCCTAGAGGGCAAAGCAGCAGTCTGGCCTCACCATTCCTGGATCTTCTTGATAACACCTCACATCTACAGACACCTTAGGCCAATGACCACACAGGTAAAAACTGAGCTGAGAAGAATTAACCTATCAGCCTAAATTCTATCCTTGAAAAGGTCTGCTGACAAGGATTGTCCTTAGCTGGCATGTGTGAAATTATTGATTTCTGATGAGATCCCACCACCCTGCCTCTTCAGAGTGGCCCACTCAAACTGTACAAGCAGTATGACTCATACTGAACACTTGCATTCTCTCTGCCTGCCTGAAATTTTGGTATGTGCTAGGTACACAGTTGCCACCTTGGCAGCTCCCAATAAAGAGCTTCAGGTACTCTGTCAGCCCCAGCCTAAGGTATTGGAGCTCTAATGTTTGCGATGTGTTACTATAACTTACTTCTAGAGAGTTAAGTGCACCTGATGTGACATCTCTGGGAGAGGACCCTTGGAAGCTTCCCCAGACTTCATGCACGTCTTCCTTTGCTGATTTTGATTTGCATTTTAAAATTAAAATTAATTAGGGGAAATGTGTGTGTGTGTGTGTCTAAGAGATCAATCAATTTTTCTCTTTCCACCACATGAATTGAATTCAGGTTGTCAGGCTTGGCAGCAAGTGCCTGTACCTGCTGAGCTACCTTGTTGGACGTGTGTGTGCACACGTGTGCAGTTGTATAAAATTAGTTTATTAGAATGTAGCTATGAAAACAACTACATGCTAAGTCCTTAGATTCCTCCTAGTGAATTAGTAACCTGGGGTCTATGGTCTCGCTAACACAGTAGGAAACATGCAAGGAGAATGAAGGCAAGTGTGGCTGGGGTCATGTGGCAGAAGGTGAGAAGTTTGGATTCTAAGATAACAGGAACCTATGAGAGTGAGTGGAAAGTTGGTTTTGCCTGCCTGCCTGCCATCAGGGACTGACTTTAAAGGAAAGAGCTGAAGTCTGAGCAGCAAGGGAGGCTCTTACCCTTTGGTGGTGCAGAAACTGCTGCAAAAAGACTAGCTGAAGGTGAGCAGAAATTCGATAGCTGGGTTTGTTCAAGGGGGTGGAGAGGGCATTTTAAGCTGTGAGAATAACCTGTGGAAAGGCCCAGGACTGCAATGCATGCGTGGGGAACTTTGAAAAATGATATTCTTTGTGTGGGGTGGGGTCAGGCGAGAATACAGAAGAGCTGCTGGACTGTGCATCGTTCAGATTCTTCGAATCATGCTAAGAAGTGTGCGCTTCACTGCAGAAGACGGATGGGAGGCAGTGGGTTGTACAAAAGGAAGCAGGGTCAAAGCTGAATTTTAGAAGATTAATACAGCAGCAACATGACCCAGAAGCTGCCAAAAGGAGCAATCTAAAGGGGACTGTCAGAAAACCTAATTTTAATGTAGCTGAGTGGAACACACAAAGCCATGCAAAGTCATGTAATGTACACTACATATTAAATATGCTTAAGTGCGTAAGATTTTGTGTGTCATGAATAAATTAAAAATTAACTATACAACCATACATACAGGTGTCCACAGTAGACACAAATCATTACTGAAAACTAAAACAAGTTGAATAGGTGAACGTAATGTTTATAAAGTTGTTGGTATAACCATCCATAGAAATTACATAAGAGATAGTTTAAAACACTATTTCAAATCCCTAGTAAATATACCCTATAGATAAAAAGAATCAGAAACCCCTATCTGTTGTCTTTTCACTGGCCTAAGAAAGAGACTTAATCAGATTGCTTATAAACATGCTAGTGACAGATCGGCCATCAAGTACGTTAGAGGTACAGAAAATAGAAAAGTACTTACTTCTGGAACATTTTACCAGGATGGACTTGGTCTGTCTAAACTGTGTATTTACACAAGCCTCATATGTATGTAGATACCACTTTTTAGAACAGTGGCTCTCAACCTTCCTAAGGTACAGTTCCTCATGTTGTGGTGACACCCAACTAAAAAATTATTTTCGTTGCTACTTCATAGCTATAATTTTGCTACTGTTATGAATCATAATTCAAATACCTGACATACAGGTTATCTGATATGTGACCCCTGTGAAAGGGTCATTTGACCCCTCCACAAGGGGATGTGACTCACAGGTTGAGAACTGCTACCCTATAGGGTATCTCAGATTTTATGATCATCAGAGAATGAACTGGAGACATCTAATCAACATGACTCTCTTCTGTGGAAGTGACACTCCAGTGTCCAGTGGTGTGGAGGCCTTGTACAGTATGACCTGGCTACAGTCCATTCTGGATGGAGGCAAAAAAGGAGCTGCAAGGAGCTCTTCTGGTCATGGACTTCTCTTCCTTTTCGGTGTCTTGTGGCAATGGGTAGGAGCTCTGATTCCTTGACATTCAATCTGTCAAACTCTTTTCAATACCTCACTTGTAGTACTTAATTTGTACTGGAAGTATAAGCATAAGTACTAAATTACCTACATTTATCTATTGAAAAGGCCCATGAAAAGGTTCAATAGCAGTGTGAATTCTTGGTGTCTAGGCAGGGTATGAATCTAGGTTTTCTGGAGAAATGGCTGAGTTAACCTTTTGGTTAGGAAATACACTGAATGTGAGACATACTATTCTGCCTGAAAAAGTCATTAAAGATCCCCAGCATCCAATCAAAAGGATAAAGGCATATCCTAAAGGTATTCCCAATGGACAGGAGTAAGATACCCTGAGCAACAAGAGACTAAACTGGGAATAACTAAAGATCAGGGGTTTGTGATGAGGTGGGAGTATTTTAAAAAGCCTATTTCTTCTTCCTCCAAGTTTCTGCACATGCAGGTCCTAAAATCTTAGATTCTTTAGGGGATGGAGAATTCCCTTCCATATGCCAATGTGAGTGGGAGCCAGGACTCCTAAGTTACCAGACTAGAAAACCAACTACGCAATCAGAGGGTTGAAGCCTCATCCACTGCATCATCAGAAGAGCGGAAGGTAATGAAGCGTCTGTACAACTCCCAGAGGACTGAGTTCCAAGAGGGTCTCAACACCTGAGAGGATGGAGGCTCCTGGAGGGTGGTGTACCCAGAGGGCTGTGCAAGCTCTGCTTTCCCTCTACACAACTCAGTCTACACATTTCCTGTCTGGCTGTTCACTGCTGTCTTTAAAATACTTAGGAATATACTTCATAACAAATGGGTAAACACAAGTCTATTCCTGAGTTTTGTGAGCTGCTCTAGCAAATTAACTGAACCTAAAGATGATGTCATGGGAACTCTGGCTTACACAGACTGTCAGAAGCACAGACAACTGGCATGTGCGTGGGGCAGATGGCAGTCCTGTGGGACTGAGCCCTGGACCTGGGGGATCTGATGCTATCTCCAGGTAGAGTGATGGAACTGAGGTAAATAAGAGGACACCAGGCAATATCAAATGTAACATCTACTGCAGAACTGCTTGCTTGCTGTGTGGAGAAATACTGACCAACCAGGGAGTATAAGAAAATGACCTGCATTGTTTCTTTTCTCGTATTCTTACCAATGCTCAAAAACAAAGAACTTTGAACTATATATCTATATCTATATATATCTGGTTAAGAGCTTGTCAGACTATTCTAGGATATTGTCAATCACTGTTTTTAGTTGAAGGACTAAGGTACTTTTAATTTTTAGGAAATAACAGAATTTCAATTGGATGGATTCCTGATAGTGGCTGGCAATGAAGTAAGCACTGCTGTGGTCATCCGTGAAGTAATAAAGTAAATGACAGAATGGTAGACTATGGCAGAGTGGCGATGTGACCAAACTTTAACATGCACTGTGTTAAGATCAGCTTTCCATGTGAAGCTGTGAAGCAGGCGAAGGTTAGAAGATTGGGGTTCAGTTTCAATGGGAGAAGGTTAAGACCTAAATCAAATCACCTAGGATCAGTGAAAAGTTACAGGATGAAAAGGGCAGTAAAAATCCCAACACAATTCTGCAACTGCACTGAAAATTCTGTGTTTCCTTCTTTTTGTCCTACCTTAACAGGTAATTTTAGTTTTTTTGTCAAAGGAATTTACATGCTAGTATACAAAAATGCCAAGATAGTAGTAGAAAATACATGCGATTTTATCTATGAATTCAGGTCATGTAACATCAAACCTGCACAGTGAATATATGATTTGCTAAAACCTTGAAAGTCCTGTAAAATACATTCTTCACTTTCTATGTGGCTAATAATCAGCATGATTAGTTTTCGTTAGTGTTTGTCTAGATTCTCTAGTTTTAAAGTTTCAATGGTCTCTTTCCAACATCATGTGAAATCAAGTCAAGTGTCAAGGTTACCTGGTTTCCGGGCTCTCTTTGCTTCTTCATAGCTCTTACTGCTTAGACTTGGAGATTCTACAAAGCTGATTTCTTCACTGACACTGACCTCTTCCTCAGTCTTGGAGCTCTCTTCCTCGTCCTGAAGAGGGGACTCTACCTCTGGTTCCTCAGAATCAACAAATACCTGGCCAGCAACCACTCTGCCTGTGGTGGAGTGGTCCTTCACTGATTCATCGGCTGGCAAAGAACTCTGAGAATATAAAATGCATTTGTTAGTCATCATCTGTACCAAGACTCTCTCCAAGCCAATCTGATCGCTGCTTTGATAAGTGTCTACAGGTGTCTCCTTCAGCTCCGTAATGTGTCAGGCTCACACCTGACTACAGATAGGCTTTGATGTGCTCATCAGAGTAGGGGCCACACCACCTGACTGGCTGTGAATTTCAACTCAGACGCTACTTTCCCATAAACCTTCTTTAATGCTGAAAGTCTGGATTATGTCCTTTATCTGCACTCCTCTTACTTCATACCTGCCTTTGGTCACTCTGTATTATGACTTCCTGTTTTTATCTCTAGTCCATCTAATCTAGAGATCAGGGTTCATAACTAGCAGACCTCCTGGATATGTGAGAACCAGCTATACGCATGCAAACCCAGGAGGATGTGCATTTTCCTGATTTGATTTTAAAAATTAAGTGGAGGCCAGGCGTTGGTGGTGCACGCCTTTCATCCCAGCACTCGGGAGGCAGAGGCAGGCGAATCTCTGTGAGTTCAAGGCCAGCCTGGTCTCCAGAGCAAGTGCCAGGACAGGCTCCAAAGCTACACAGAGAAACCCTGTCTCAAAAAGCCAAAAAAAAAAAAAATTAAAATTAAGTGGAAACAAATGGCATGGTAATGTAGTGATGCATACTCTTAACCCTAGCACTTGGGAGGCAGAGGCATAGATCTAAGTTCAAAGCCAATCTGGTCTACACTGTGAGTTCCAGGCGAGCCGAGACTGTATAGTGAGACCTTATCTCACACACACAAGTGGGCAAGGTGGGACACACCTGAAATGCCAGCACTAGGGACGGCAAAGACAGGAGGATGAGAAATTATAGGTCACCTTCAGCTGCATAGTGAGTTCGAGGCCAGCCTGAGCTACATGAGACTTTAGAGGGGAGAAGCGAATGAAATCAATCTCTCTCTGGGCACTAAAAATGCTGCCTTGAGCTCTTCTGTGTGAATGTCCACCACCCACATAGCACATTCAAACTGATGTTGAAAGTGACCCTAACACCCAGCAGTCCTTAGGGAAATTCTTATTATTCTCACATAGGTTAGTGATTTTTTTTTTAAACCAAAAGAGTTAGAATTAATACTGGTATCTTCTTTAATTTAATTTTGTTCCTCAGAATCAGTATGACATTTCTACAGTGTGTAATTCCTGCCTTTAATTTGTTTAGTACAAATCTTAGTACCTACCTTGGAATCTATGGATTCATCCTGGTTACTTTCATCATCTGCAAAGAAATTTTAAGACAAATTATCCTTTTTTGTTGGGAACTACAAATGTTAGAAAGCACACAAAAGACACCATGTTCCCCTACACAAGAGTCCAAGGATTTCAGGAATTATATGTGAAAAACTTGGAGGAAGAACAAATACACAACAGATAATAACCAGTCACTGGATAAATGAACCTAGATTATTCATTCATTTATTTAGGCTTTTTTGAGACAGGGTTTCTCTGTGTAGCCCTGGCTGTCCTGAACTAGCTCTGAAGAGCAGGCTGGCTTCAAACCCACAGAGATCCACCTGCCTCTGATTCCCAAGTGCTGGGATTAAAGATCTGTGCCACTATTGCCCGGATAACCAATTTAAAAACTGATTGTATTCAAGTATTTCACAAAAGTTTAAGGGGAAAATTTCCCCTTCATTTTCCACACAGGGAAACCAAAAGGCTCTCTTCTCACTCCCCAAACCAGTCTCTTCTTCGGATTCCATCTCAATTTATAAAAATGAAGCTCAAAATCCACACTGCAGGTTTTTAGCCACTCTGTTTCTCTGCAGAGAATATGGAGTTATCATAGGTTATTTTAATTCTCAGTAGGAACTTGTTGTTTCACTAATACAACCAAGGATGGGAACAGATGATAATTGCCATTATTATTCATCGGGGTTAAAACATATTAGACAAATATATTTAACATTTGTGGCCTATTTTGCTTAAGAGGTAACTAGATACAGGTCAGATGTAGCACTGAACTATCATGTGTTACTTGTATGAGAGTATTTATTAAATCAATGGTTTCTTTATGCCCATGTGTCCGGGTAAGTATATGTGGGTGTCCATGACGGCCAGAAGAGGGCTGGGACTTATGGATGGGATAGCTATGGGATGTGTGACAAAGGTGTCAAACTCAGGTCATCAGGAAGAAAGCAAACACGGTTAACTGCTGAGCTATCTCTTCAGGCCCAAGAAATCATCAGCTTCTTTTTGTTTGGGGGGGTAGGGGTGGGGTCTGAGACAGGGTTTCTCTGTGTAGCTTTAGCTGTCCTGGAACTAGCAATGTAGACTAGGCTGGCCTGGAACTCACAGAGATCCGCCTGCCTCTGCCTCTCGAGTGCTTGGATTAAAGGCATGAGCCAGCAATGCCTGGCCAAAATCAACAGCTTCTTAAAAGGTGTGTGTGTGTGTGTGTGTGTGTGTGTGTGTGTGTGTGTGTGTGTGTATGAGCTTGAGTGCATGTGTGTAGAGATGGCTCAGTACAAGGGCACCGGATGCTCTTGTAAAGGACTTAGCCTTGGTTTCCAACACCACACAGTGGCTCTCAGCAGACTGTGACTCCAGTTCCTGGTGAATATGACATCCTTTTCTGGCCTCCATGGGCACCAGGAATGCACATGCTGCACAGATACATGTGTAAGTAAAACATGCATACACATAAAATAAAAATAAACATTAGAGTAAAAAGAAATCAATAGCTTACGATAAAAAAAAAATCAATGATTCCAGCCATTATTTATAGCTTGGTTCTGAATGCATACAGGTAGCTTAGTTTTCTTAGAAAACAGGTTTTTAAAAATGATCCTTTTTCATGTGTTTTGGCTGTTTCCACTAGTCTTGGTGGCTGTTTACACTGCTCTCTATGGAAACAGGCAACAACTCAATGCTAGTGTTTGACCTTCGTAGTCACTGCCAATGTAAAGACAAACAGCCATATGATCTTCTGTTTCTTCTCTTTCTTAAAATGATTTGATTTTACCCTGAGCGGGGCATTGCTATATGAGAAATTCACAGTGAAATTCTATAAAACCACTAATTACTGGAAAATGTGGCATTATTTTTGTTTTGGATGGTTGTACCATAAGGCTTTGAACTTTATACAGCTGATTTTGTAGCATTTGTTTTGCATATCTGAGAAAAACAGTCTTTCAGTGAAGTTTTGTCACATGTTACCAATTTTTTTTTAAAAAAGTAAAGTATAGCTACTATTTAGATTCACTTGTTTTAAGAGGACCTTCCAAATGTTTTATTTTTGCATGTTGGAGGTAATGGTGGTGTGTATGGCATGTCTTACTCTTACAGTGCCCATTACCGTGGTCCATGAGTTAACAATCATCTTCCCTCCAAGCTTTTTGAAGATCTACATGGTTCAAATATAATCCTCAGTGAATCTCTTGCTAAGGGAAGGAAATCCATATCTATTATGGATCAATGTTGTATGTATAAATGTAATTTGCTAATCACAAATACCAACCATTTAGTACAAGAAGAGTAGGCACCAACTGTGCAAATTTGTCTAAGATATGTCCCTATACACTGGGCCTTTGGACTTCCTGCAAATGTAAATCACTAAGTCAGTCAGAGACAGCTGGTAAGTAAATAATATAGATACCTATGAGTAAATATATATGATAAACATCTGAGACACAGAAAATAGTGAGGCATTGAAGGAGCAAGATGTGTTGTTGAACTCCACGAAAAAGGATCTGTGACATCAGGGTGGTTTCACATGGATTGCATCATTCTTTCTTCCACAAACCAGGAGCAAATACTAAGATGACTTGGTCAACAAAATAGTTTTTCTCAGTCACTAAACAGGAAAACCTATTCCAAACAGTGGCTTTAAGAAAAAAAAACTAAAGCTATTTTCTTTTACCAGCTGACATTTACACATAACCTTAGAAATGGTTGCTGGCGAGTGACTCCAAGTAATTCTGAATGTAATTTTCAAGTAAAATCAAAGACACTGACATTGTGCATAAATAGGAAAGGCACAGTAATGCTTGAATCAGGCATTGCATTTTATCAGCTACAGATACAAAGCAAGAAGAAAAAAAAATGCAAAAGGATTCAATGAAGAGTTCCAAATGTCTCATTCATCAGTATCACATCTAAAATGTAACTGTCAAACTACTTTAGCTAACTGTATACTTTCCCTTGAAAAAAGATCAATTTTCGCTTTTGTTATATCAGCTTATATGACCAGGGATATTCTGTCAAGGAAAGGTTATCATCACATATTATGTGTTATGTGTCATTCGTATTAAACAGAGTAATCCACCTCCAAACATAAAGAGCAGAAGAGTTTAGCGAAAAGGGAACAGCTGTCCTGCTTCTGCTTTGCTTGACATGCTTCTGGATCCTAAGTCACTCCATATCTGAAGTTTGGAGAGCTGAGACCTGGCTTCCTGAATACTTATTTGGACACACATGGCTCAATATGAAAAGCTTGCTCAACCTCTATTTTCTTAGTCTGTCAAAAGGGAACAGCACCATGTGTCGGTTCACAATGATATTGTGAGGTACAAGTAAAACAGTGAAATTAAACACCCTCAGCTATCTAGAAGCTGCCCTCTAGACTTCTGTATTAGTACAACTCACCTCAAATACCTGGCAGTGTTGATAATGTAAAGAGTGTAACACTCATTCTCCTAATCTCTTTCAGTCTTTCTTCACCCTGGCTTGGACTGAACTCAGGCCACCCAATGACGCTACCAGTAAGGTACACTCCCAGCTCCAACAAAGCCTGTATTTCTAAGTGAGAAAGGTGAACACCCTTTCACTGTTATCTTTAGAAAATTAAGGAGAAATACCTTCTTTGTAATACCTTCTTTTTTCTTAACCCTCCTCTCAATTTATTCATTTACAAGAAAAAGAAAGCATTTCTAATATGAGAACCATGCTTTTACATGTCTCTAAGCCATGTTAGAGAGCAGATATGTTCACTAACACAGCTGGAATGAGGGCCAGTTTTATTGGCTGATGATCACCTATGTGGTATGGTTGCTAACTTCAACCTGCCTGGGGTGACATTAATATTAAACATAAAATGACCATAAAAATTTGATTTTTATTAAGAGCAAAGCTTTAAATCTCAATTTCAAAAGTGAGGCAAAAAATTCCATGTAAACAAGCAACTGAATGCACAGCCTGGAGAACTTTCCTACATTTTCCGAGGACTGTGTTGAGTGTACTTTGAGCTCTTGGCATTGGAGACTCTAACCAGTTAAGAGATATTCCAAAGTACTTAGCATTCAAGTGTTAAATCTTAGGGTCATTAAGTGCAAATTGAGTTTTCAGGGGGATATATGTTATGTTGTTTAGTTACTGGACTCTTTAAACTTCAGTGTGAAAAACCACAGAGCTGGTTCATATATAGGTATGTGGTGTATTCCAGACTTAACACTGTATTAGTAACAAAATCCCAAGGGGAATTCAGTTGCAGGAGGTCCACAGTCCATCAGGTACTTTACCCAGGACATGTATCAGCTCCACTTCATACATCTTTTGAACAGTAACTGCTAAGATTTCTGCAGGAGCCAAGTATTGTATAGTCTTTAAGGATTTGATAATCCACACAAACTGTCACCTCAAAGGGGGCAGAATCAACCTCGAGCATGATGCTGGCAGTCAAGTGATTACCATATGCTAGCTTCTGAAGTGGTATCTAAAATACACGATGGTTGTTACTCTCTTATTTTAGCAGCAGGGCGATATTATGGCTTTCATCTACAACTAGGACAGAGAATTTGGGGATTCAAATAACCATCTGGGAAAATTTCAGTTGTTAAAAAAAAATAAAGTTGACATTTATATTTTCAGTGTTCCAGAAAAAATAAAAAATGTAAAGCCACCCAATAGCTGTCTTGTTAAATGAAACCGACCAAAATCTCAAAGTCTTTCTGTAGACAATGTTTATCAACACTTAAAACAGTCTAAGGATGTTTAAAACAAACATTTCTGATAGTAAGTTCTCTGATATAGGCAGATTGAAACATTAAAAAAGCCCTTTGCAGAAAGTTAGTGTAAGTCAGCCAGTTGAAAAATCAATTAATAATCACACAGAGTAATGTATCTACAGAAAAAGGAAAAACTATTTTCTATTCATTTTGAAAGAAACAAGTCTCTCTCAAAAATCCTAAAATCACCATCTACAAACTCAGAAACACTGTGGCAGGGGTCACATTTTCCCAGGAAGGTTTATTTAAAGTGTGTGTGTGTGTGTGTGTGTGTGTGTGTGTGTGTGTGTGTAGGGGAGGGGGCGTGAGTCACTACAATTCTATCAGAGGTTTTTCTTTAAAAAACCAGACCAACAGACCAGGTGTTGAGCAATCCCTCCAAGCCACTGTCAACATCCTAGTCCTGATGAACCCTGCTCTGCACAAAGTGACAGCTCCAGGTATGTCAACTGCAAACCCCAGCGTGTCCCAGAGCCAGTGCACGCATCATCTACGTGAAGGGTGAGGAATCCCGGTGGGTCTTTTAATCCAGATGTCCCTCCCCACCGGTCAATTCCTCATTCGTCAGAAGTCACCTAAAGTTTGCTGCGTGGGAGACGTGTGGGCAGGGTGATCAGCCCTTCCCTACGTCCAGCTTCCTTAAGCACCCACTCTGGCCCAGGATAACCGAAGCCCATGGCCAGGGCGAGTGACAGTCAGGGCGAGGTTTGAAGAGAGACCGCGGAGACCCCCGGCCCTGTCTCCACCGCGGTCGGGGGGCGGCGGCTCGGGGCCTGCTTGCCCGAGGCCCGATACTGACCGGAGGACGCGGTCGCCGAGCTTAGGAGCACCGCGCAGAGCATCAACGTCAGCCCGACACGGACCTGCATCCTGTTCTCCGAGGTCGAGAGCCGTCGCGGTTACCGCGAGCAACTCAGCCGCTGCCGCCTCACCGCCGCCTCGCCGCCGCCGCTGCCTCAGAGCCGCTCTTCCTGCTCGGGTTCCTTCTTCGTCCCTTCCCAGGCCGCCCTGGCCCAGCGCGCAGCCAATCCTCAGCCGCCGCTCCGGCCTCCCTGTCCAATGGACGTGCTCGCCCCGCCCCGTTTATGGACACGCCCCCTATGTCATCCCTCAGCCAATCATCGTGCAGGATTCTCACACCAGCTTTCCCGGTTGGGCCACGGCCTCACCGACATGGCCCCAGCTAATTGGTAAGTGCCTGAATCAGCGCCTTAGGCAAGGGCTCCGAATAAAAATACCCTCATCGAGGACCACAAGTCCCATAATGCACTTCATTAGAGTCTCTCCGCCGGTACTCTTGGGAGATGTAGTCCAGAATAGCGCAAGCTTACAGGTGGCTGAGAAAGTAAGGAGGATTGTGCTAGATACTCAAGGAGTGGATTCAAAGCGCTCTTTTCCGTTTGAACCAGAGCAAATATCAAGGGACAAATATTACATGGTTAAAACTTGCAGAGGTTGCTAAGGATTTCTTTGCAATTATTTTGAGAATTTGAATTGGACGTGACGTGAGCACTGAAGAGTATGCAACAGCTACATTAAATTTTTAAATACTTTTCGAATTTAGTTTTAAAAAACACGTTAAAAAAAAGCTTGGGTAAAGCAATACCTGTGGTTTACAGAGGCTGTAGTACAAGAAAATGCTGCTCGTTTTTTTCCTCCAATAAAACAAAGGAAAGAAATTGCCCCCAGTGAAGATTAGTTCAACTCCTGTGTTCATTATTGCTTCCAGATCTCCTAGCCATCCGGTAAGTGTGTCAACAGCTTTCCAAAACCCTTTAAACACTTGTCTTCATTCTTCTCTTTGCAAACACTGCAACGTTCTCTTCTTCCTTGACCAGGGATGGGGTTACATGATTGTGCGGAGATAGAGGTGAGAGCTAAGGCACTTCAGACATGGAGATAGTTATGTAGTTATGTAGTAAGTATTGATGCAGTGCACGATCCCTCTGAGTAGCAGGGCAGCATCCTAGTGCTCTTACAGTCTTCTTAATCAAATGGTGTCATTCCGCTAAATTTATTTCTCAGCACTGGCACACAGTTGGTTCTCAGGCCAGGAACTTATCTGGGGTTTGGAGAAAGTCCTCTGTATCAGTGTCTTTGAACAGTTCTTTCCTATCTTCTTGACAGTTTAAGATGATAAAAATTAGCTGCTGTTCATTTGCATCAAAGGGATGAGGAAAAGAAATCCCGTAAATTCTCCTCCGTGTGTGTGTGTGTGTGTGTGTGTGTGTGTGTGTGTGTGTGCATTTGCATTTGTGTATGTGTGTGTGTGCAAAGTGTAGAGGACAGAGGTTGATGTCAGGTATCTTCTTGGTTGATCTCCACTTTGGTTTTTGAGACAGGGCCTCTCACTCAATATGGAGCTTGTAGATTCAGCTAGACTGGTTTGACTACAAGTCCTAAGGACCCTCTAGCTCCTCCACCATAGTAATGAGGTTACAGGTTCATGCTGCTGTGCTATGCCTGCTTTTTAAAAACATGGATTCTGCAGGATGGAGGTAAGGTCCTCAGTGTTAGGTCTCAGGGTGTCCATATATTCAGCAATGAGCTCAAGCTGAACTATCAGAGGGCTTCTGGCAGTCAGATAAAAGCCAGCATTCTTCAGGAATTTGTGCAAATGGTTTCCATCTGCCAAAAAAAAAGGGAGACATTTCCACTGACCTCTGGCAGAAGGGACATATGGCTCTCCACTGACATGTACCTGTGGCTGCATCTCAAAGCCTATGTCAGCCTCCGAGACCCCCTCAGTGTCTGTTCACAAGTACTTGTTATAGCCCCAGTGCCAGTCTCCTGGCCCTTCCCTCTCTGTATCTGTTCATGCTCCTTATAGCCGGCTACACTCTACTATTCCTGTAATTACCCTCTCTCATTTCTTTTACTATTCTCTCACTGTGCTATCTCTTGCTATCTCCACTATTTTCTCTGCTTCTCTCACTTCTCTAGTTCTGGCCAAGTCAGCCTGTTTTCCTTTTTTGTCTGCTCTGGATTCTTCCAGATGTCTCTGGCTGGTTTCCATCTCCTATATACAGTAAAGACCTTAGGATATCATGGAGTGGTCACGATGGCGGTTCTTTACTAAGGATCACTCATGTTTGTGCAGCAAGCACTTTACCAACTGTTCTGGTTAGATTTTTTTGTTTGTTTGTCCACTCAACACAGGCAAGGATAATGTGGGAAGTGAGACCTTTAGTTGAGGAAATGCCTATTAGATTGAACCAGAGGAGAGTCTGTGGGGGCATTTTCTTGATTAATGACTGATGTGAGAGGGTCCAGGCTACTGTGACCTTGGCAGGTGGGTCCAGGCTACTACTCCTTGGCAGGTGGTCCTGATTTGTATAAAAAAGCAGGCTAAGCAAGCCATGGAGAGCAAGCCAGTCAGCAGCATTCCTCCATGGTCTCTGTTTCAGTTCCTGCCTCCAGGTTCCTGCCTTGGCCTCCCTCCTGTAGACTAACTAGTAAGCCAAACAAACGTTCCCATGTTGCTGGAGTTTCTTCCTGCTTGGTCCCGCTGCTTCAGTCCCAAATGAACACACAGACACTATATTAATTATAAAACTGTTGGCTGATGGCTAGGGCTTCTTATTGGCTAGCTCTGTCTTAATTATTAACTCATAACTACCAATCTATGTATTTCTACATGACCTTATCTTAACAGAGAACACCTGGTGTGTCCTATCCTCCCCGTCTCTACGTAGCATCTCTTAGAAATCTCTCTCTCTGCCTACCTTTCCCAGAATTTTCCTTGTCTGCTAGTCCCGCCTATCTTCCTGCCTCTATTGGCCAAACAGTATTTTATTCATCAACCAATAAGAGAAACATATATACAGAAGGACATCTCCCATCATTCCCACGTTGCTTTTGGTTATGGATTTTTAACACAGTAATAGAAAGCAAACTAAGAGTCATCTCCCCAATTTGTACTTCCTCCTCTAGCCTAGGCTGGCCTTGAACTTATGTCAGTCCTCTTGCCATGCTGGGTACTGGCTGCCATGTTCAGTTCCAAGTTCTTATTTTTATTGCCTCCTTTTCTATCATTAACAATATTTCCTCAGACTTCCACTGTGCAGGATAGCTTTATGTCAACTTGACACAAACTAAAGTCATTTGAGAGAAGGGAACCTCATTTAAGAAAGTGCCTCCATAAGACTGGGCTGTAGGCAAGTCTGTAAGGTATTTTCTTAATTAGTGAATGGTGGGGGAGGACCCAGCCCATCGTGGGTGTTGCTATCCCTAGATGGGTGGTCATGGCTTTTATAAGAAAGCAGACTGAGCAAGCCAGTAAGCTGTACCTTTCCATGCCCTCTGTAACAGCTCCTGCCTCCATGTTCCTGACCTGTTTGAGTTCCTGTCTTAACTTCTTTCATTGATGAATGTCAACATGGAAGTATAAGCCAGATAAATAAACCCTTTCCTCCCCAACTTTCTTTTAGGCCACAGTGTTTCATTACAGCTGTAGAAACCCTAACTAAGACATCCACTGTTTTGAAATCAGAGAGTAGAATATGGTGTATTTTTCTACCTTTTGTCTTACCCATTATCAAGTCTTACCCTTTTGAACCATGTAATTATTTTTTTTAATTTTCTTTTATTCTTAATTACTTTGTCAAGCAGCGGGTTCCCTTATGTCATTTGCTTATTTTTATATTGCATTATATTAATCCTTCACATCACTTTATGTTATCGTATTACAGAGTGGCATTATTCATCTCTTTTTTTTTTCTCCGTCAGAACTCCCTTATTTGCTCTCATGTTCTCTTCCCTGGAGATGAACCTGAATCCTTACCAGTGCCGGTCTCCCTTTATTCTAACCTAACCTAAGTCACATATAGTGATGGCTCGAAATTTGTATCAGCCTCTATTTTAATAGAATCAAAAACATTTAGGATTTTCTTTACTTATAAAATGGAAATCTGCGTTCAAAGTTCTCTTTTGGGGGAGAAACTTCTACCTTGCACACAGGAAACAGTGGTTATCTGATGGCTAAGACTGGGGAGGGCTCATTGTTTAATGAAGGTCCAACCTTTTCTTTTCCCATTTATTGCTTTTACTGAGTACCTCACGAAGTTAGAGCCCTGCTTCACTGCTTCGTAGATGGAGTTCTACTTTTTATCTGCCTGGCAGATTTCTACATTAATACAATCTTCTGTTCTTCTGTGTCCCCTTTCCTTCTTCCCAGTGACCTTTACTTATCCTTTGTCTCTAAATTGGCATCCTTCCCTATTTGACTTGCATTTCTTTTTGGCTGAGACTTTGATGACTAGCCCTGTCCTCATTGCTCTTTATTTCTCTAAATATCTCTCAGATGTTCTCAGTCTGGCTGTTTACATGGATTTAAACTTACTACGATCAGGCATCATTTGTATGATTCCTTGTATGGGTATCAACATTAACTAACACTAGGTAATTATTGATAGATGTACTTTGCTTGTCTGGCGTATAGTTCCCAAATTCAGGAAGAAAGCACTTTTTATATTGTGGCATGTTTAACAAATGTTACTATTTCTTATAGGTTGTTTGTTGATTTGGAAAGATCTAGTTGGTAGAGCTTTTACCACTAGCCAGCAACAGGACCTTGGCTTTCTGGGGAAACTTGACATTTTCAAAGTAGGGTCAGGACTGTGGGAAAATCAGATTTATTTGGTCAGCCTGCTGCCTTGAATGATAGTTAAGATTATGTACTTACTGTGCTTGCACATGGTATTAATGCTATTATTTGTGAGTCCACTGTATTTGCTCAGCTGTGTCTATTTTGTCTGTCTCCTGTTACCTTTCTAAGTCACTGTTGTAGATTGCCAAGTCGCAGAAAACCTGTTTTCTCTTTATTGCAATACAACATGGGGCCTGAAAGAGGTGCTTAAATGTGGTTATCCTCCCAATCCCCAAAGAACAGGCTTCAGTACATCAACCCAGCTTCCTTTTCACCTAAGTATGGTGGGGGAACTCCTAGATTTATCCTGAGAGCTGAGTGGCTGTCCTCAACTCTTAGGGGGTTATATCCTCTCCTACGCTAAGGGATCGCTTTGAGCTGGTAATATGCACAGGTTGCTAGCATTTGCAATTCGATGTCTGCCAAGGAAGGATTAGGGAGGGAGAAACAAGATATTTTCTCAGAGCTTAGAAAACAATGTGCTTTCTTTGATGTAGTTGAGGCAAATTAAAGTCATTTCTCTTGTGTTTGCTTTTTGTGCATAAATAAAATGTAAATCCTTCAACTAGTAGCCAGATACAAGGACATACCCTGGTTTTGCATTTACATTCTAAGCTCGTAACGTAAACGAATAATGGCTTTTCACCTCATTGTATCCCTCATAACTTTGGGACAGCATCTGGAAGATTTGTCATAAATAGTACAGATTAAATAACCTTCAGATGTTCAAGTCACATTCTGTGATTACAATTCAAGGACATCAAGTTCTAAGAGTCGATCATAGATTGTGTAGGTGTGGTTTTACGGTTTTATGAGTTCCAAATTTTGAAGCTGACAGAAGGTGAGAGGGTGGTGGGCCCTCAGGCTGTGTACCAAGCTCCATCCTGAAGTATGTTTACTTTGTGGGGTGTTTCCTGACTGGGCATTATTAGTCTTATCAGTAAAGGAAAAAACCAGGATGCTTTTATATCCAGAATAACTGGATAGGCATCTCTGGGTTTAATCTTTGTGGAGATTTGTTAATTCCTAGTTCCGAGAGAGAGAGAGAGAGAGAGAGAGAGAGAGAGAGAGAGAGAGAGAGAGAGAGAGAGAGAGAGAGTTGGTCAAAACTAACTTGAAGTAAGAATGGATTTGGTGAAATTATGAGGAGACAGAAAACCTGGCGTCTCCATTAAATTCAGAAACATATTAACCAGGGAATAAATGGCAATATATTTTAATTAGTGAATTTTGCATTTAGAATATTATATTTATATGAAAATTCCTTCCTCCCTCCCTCCCTCCCTCCCTCCCTTTCTCCCTCCCTCCCTTCCTCCCTTCTTCCCTTCCTCCTTCCCTTCCTGCTTCCATTCCATCCCTGTCATACACATCGTCCATTTTTGCAGGTTCTTGGGTTTGTACAGGCAAGGACCTGTAAATGCATATGGTGATGCAAGGGTGACTTATTGGAGTTAGGGAGAGAAAACAACAGGGTAGCCAAGCTAGGAATGCTGGGTCAAGGGAGATGGAAGGAAGAGTGAGAAGGGAAGGGATGGGTCCTGAGTAGGAAGTCGGCAAGCAGACAGGCTTAGCAGTGGAGGTGTGTGTTCAGCTGTCCTGTGTGTGTGTGTGTGTGTGTGTGTGTGTGTGTGTGTGTGTGCATGTATATGTGTGTATGTATGTGTGTGTATAGGTTGGGATGCTTTAGAAAGAGTGGAGTGAGAGTGCCTTGGACTCATGGGCCAGCATACTTAGGCTTTCAGTAGGGACCAGGAGAAGGGAGATGGAAAGAGGAGGGAGAAGCTTTCTAAGATAGAACTCAGAGTTGGCCAGCCCTGCAGCGAGAGCCTGCACACAACTGCAGAGTGGGTTATTCTGTGTTATATGAGCACATATGTATCTCATTAAGGGGACAGTTAGCTCTCCTGTTTCTTCACGGATATTATATTTCACCTTCCAGCTTTGGACTGGTTTCCTTTAGGCTGCAAAATAGGATTTTCTCCTTGATGTAGGAGATCCCCATCTTGTGTGAATTACATCAAAAGGGTGTTATTGACCATATGCTATATAAAGGGGGCTACTCACTACCAACCATGCTACTTGTAGCAGAGAATACAGACATTTTAGTAGTTACATGTCCTTAATGGTGCCTAGGAGACAGGTGCCCTATCTTCCTTTTCTAAGCTCTCCTCTTACTTCCACAATAGTCACTGTCAATGCCCTTTAGCCAAAGACCACCAAGAACATATCTGCAATTGAACAAGTTGTCATTATTGTTTATTGCAGTGTGGGAGGACATACAACCTAGGATGTAACTTTCCTATTGCTGTGAAGAGACATCATGACCAAGGCAACTTATAGAAGAAAGCATTGAATTGGAGACTTTCTTTCTTTCTTTCTTTCTTTCTTTCTTTCTTTCTTTCTTTCTTTCTTTCTTTCTTTCTTTCTGATTTTTCGAGACAGGGTTTCTCTGTGGCTTTGGAGGCTGTCCTAGACCTGGCTCTTGTAGACCAAGCTGGTCTTGAACTCACAGAGATCTCCCTGCCTCTGCCTCCCAAGTGCTGAGATCAAAGGCATGCACCACTGATGCCCGGCTGAATTGGAAACTTTCTTACAGTTTCAGAGGGTGAGTCCCTGACTGTCAGGGTGGGGAGCATGGTGGCAGGCAAGGTGCTGGAGAAGTAGCTGAGAGATCACATCTGATCCCCAACTATGAGGAAGAGAGAGGAGAGAGAGGAGACAGAGGAGAGAGGGAAGAAAGGAGACAGAGGAGAGAGAGAGAGAGAGAGAGAGAGAGAGAGAGAGAGAGAGAGAGAGAGAGAGAGAGGAGAGAGAGGAGGGAAGAGAGGAGACAGAGGAGAGAGAGAGGAAAGAGAGGAGACAAAAGAGAGAAGGAGAGAGGGGAGGAGTAGGAGGGTGGATGGGGAGAGGAGGAGGGGAGAGGGGGAATAGAGTGGGGGTAGTTACTTGGGAATGATATGGGCTTTTGAAATCTCGAAGCCAACCCCCATTGACACACCTCCTAATCCTTTCCAAACAGTGCCACCAACTGAAGACCAGTCATTTAAATATGTGAGCCTGTGGAGCCCATTCTCTTTCAAACCAGCATACAGGGTATCTTAACAAGAAGGAATTGGGAGAATCCTACCATAGAGTTTGGGGCTTTGGTATGTGATTTGTGGAAGGCCTATGGGAGATAGACTTGTTTTTGGTTAATGTGAGAAGTGCCTCTGCTTTCTATTATTTAGTATAAATGAATCAATAAAGTCTAAAGGAGGAGAGTAAAAGGATAATGCTGTAATTGGTAAAAGGTAACACTACAACATTCTGGGTCATGAGAGGTGGCATTTGGTATATTGTGGGTGACAGTGGGACTGTTTTGTTTGAGCTTAGAATTATGAGATAGCTTTGCTTTGTGTAATCATGCTCTGGTGACACAGTGTCCTATTGACAGTATTCCTGGGGAAGTATGAAGAAACATCCACTCACTCCAGATAAAGAATCAATAACAGACCAAAGTCAGGATACCACCAACCTCCAGCTTGGTGAACTAATTAACTTGATGGGTTGCTTAAAGAAGTAGAGATGGCCAGGCATTGGTGGCACATGCCTTGAATTCCAGCACTTGGGAGGCAGAGGCAGGTGGATCTCTATGAGTTTGAGGCCAGCCTGGTTTATAGAGCAAGTTCCAGGACAACCTCTAAGGCAATACAGAGAAACCCTGTCTCAAAAAACCAAAAAAAAAAATTAGAGATGGCAAAGATGGTTGTGTCATCCAAAGTCACCCCAGCATGGGTGATAGCTCATGAACACTGCAAATGCATAGATCACTGACTAACTTGCAATCACCAGTACAGGTTGGAGAGTGTCTTTTCCAGGTAGCTCAGGTCTTTGCTTATTCCAGGCAGACTGACTGGTCTATGCCTCTTCTAGACCACTTTGTTTGTCTGGGAGTGTCTCCCAGAAACCCTTCCTGTTATATGTAGAATTGAAGATTGAGGGCCCTGGTGAACCTAGTCAGGTATTTTCTCAATTGTTTACTTTCTGAGTTTTAAGGAACTTCCTGGCAGGATGGAATGTTTCACTCCTTTTTAGAACATCCTGGCTATTAAGGAGCTTCCCTCTTTGTAAGGAAATTTTATTTAGGAGGAAATTGCCCCACAATACCTGTCTAAGTCTGGTGTTCCTGTCAGATGGCTTATGTCTAATCCAAGGAGGACATGGCCTCCATGTGATTGCCAGGCCAGCTTCTGAATGTCAGGGTTGGTTCTTTGTCTTTTTCCTTGGCAGCTATCCTGTGGTAAAACCATATCCTGATGCTGGGAATTCAGCAGTGACTCAAATAGATAAAGCCCACGGGGTTGATATGCAAATGAGGGAGACATCAAGAATAAGGGAAATAAGTAAATTAGAACGTCTTAGAAGGTGGTGAGTACTATGGAAAAACCAATACAGGAAGGAAAGGAATACTGGGAAGGAAGGCATTTTTGCAGTGAGATGGTCAAGGCAAATATCCCTGTGAGGGTCATGTTTTGTTTTTTGAGGAAAGATGTCGAGGTGATGAAGAAATAAGGCATGAAGATATAAGAGAGTGAGATGCTTCCCACGTGTCGAGAGTGAGTCGTGCATTGGCAAGAATTTGTCTGCTACATTCTTCAATTATCAAGGCATCCCATGGTTGTAGAAAATGAAGGAGATGCATTCTGAGATCATCAAGGCACCCCATGGTTGCAGAAGTTATGGGAGAATAACAAGGCATGATGTTCAGGAAGGGACTTGGGGATAGATACGTTAGGGATTTTAGTCCAATAATAAGAGAGCAGGCAGAATGCTTCTTCAGTTAACTTTTGTGTCACAATTGTATCGGCGGGCATATCTTGTCAGGCGAGTAGTTATTGTAGCTCGCAGGGTTCACAATTGGTTAAGATTGAACACTTTTTTTCCTCTGATAGTATACATAGCACCTTCCATCACTATGAAAACTAGCCTGTAGGAATGAAGTTTCCAGACGACTATCAACTTGATTTCTCTATGTTCTATGATTCAAGCATGTTATGTCTTCAGCAATATTGGCTTACCACCAAGTTCTGTGGGGTAACCAAGAGTGGCAATAGCCTGTAATGTTTGGAGGGTGTGGTGGTCTGCCTGAAAATGGCCCCCATAGACTCACAGGGAGTGGCATTATTGGAGAGGGGGCCTTATTGGAGTAGGTGTGGCCTTGTTGGAGAAGTGTGTCACTAGAGGGTGGGCTTTGAGGTTTCAGAAGCTCAAGCAAGGCCTAGTGGCTCACTCTCTCTTCCTGTTGTCTTTGGATCCAGATATAGAACTCTCAACTGCTTCTCCAGTACCATGTCTTCTTCCTCTATGCTGTCATGCTTCCAGCCATGGTGACAATGGACTAAACCTCTGAATGGTAAGCCAGCCCCCAATTAAATGTTTTCCTCTCTAAGATTTGCCATGGTCATAGTGTCTCTTCACAGCAATAGAAACACTAATTAAGATGGGGCAGGGTGTCTATGGTAACTCACTGGCCAATAAGTCAAAGAAATTCCCGGCATTGGGATTTTATTTGTTTGTCTACAGTGTCTGGTAGGGACATTGTTTTCATATTACAGGGCAACATCATAGAAACTTTTTATCTTTCACATGTATGTATGTTAGGAAGCATCTACTGAAGTACATTTCCATATGCCCTTTCAAAATGTTTTCAGTGTTAGTTATCCCTCTTGGCATTCCCTTCTTTGCCCTCTCCTCTCCACTTCTTCCCATTTAACTCTTTTTGTTCCGTTATTCCCCTTTAAGCCCTTATACCACCATATATTATCTCCCCTCTCCTGAAAGGTCTTCCCTTGTCCTCCTTTAATTTCCTGACCTCTGTATGTACTCCAGGTGGAGCATACATTATCTAAAGGTTCACAGACAATATCCAGAGAGGAGAGAAAATGTGTATTTGCCTTTCCACTCATAATCTCTGTTTTCAGGTCTGTTTATGTTTCCAGCACATTTCATTTTTTTTTCTTAACAGCTGAATGATATTCTTTTGGGAAAATGTACTACATTTTCATTATCCATTCATCAGCTGGTAGATATCTAGGCTGTTTCCATCTCCTGCCTGCTGTGAATAGAACAACAATGAACATAGATGAGCAGTCCAGCTACAGTAGGGTATAGAGTCCTTTAGTAATAGCCCCAAGGGTGATGTAGCTGGATCATGATGTAGATCTAGTTCTAGCTTTTTGAGGAGTCTTTACAGTATTTCCATAGTGGTTGTACCAATTTGTACTCCTTCCTGCAACAAACAAGTTTTCCTTTCCCCCTGCATCCTCACCAGCATCTGTTGTCATTCATTTCTTTATTCTTGGTCATTTGGATTGGGGTAAGTTTTTTTTTGTATTTTTTATTTAAATTAGAAACAATCTTTTATGTATCAATTCCAGTTCCCTCTCCCTCCTATCCTGCCATGCCCCACACTGACCCCAGCCCCACCCCCATCCACTCCCCAGGGAGAGTGAGGCCTTCGATGGGGGATCATCAAAGTCTGTCACATCATTTGGGGCAGGGCCTAGGCCCTCGCCTGTGTATCTAGGCTGAGAGCGTATCCCTCCATGGGGGAATGGGCTCTCAAAGTCCATTCACGCACTAGGGATAAATACTGGTTCCATCATCAGAGGCCCCATAGACTGCCCAGGCCTCCTAATTGTCACCCACGTTCAGGGGGGTCTGATTTGATCCTATGTTGGTTCCTCAGCTGTCTGGCTGGGGTTCATGAGCTCCCACTTGCTCAGGTCAGCTTTTTCTGTGGGTTTACCCAGCGTGATCTTGACCCCTTTGTTCATCACTCCTCCCTCTGTACAACTGGATTCCAGGAGTTTGGCTCAGTGCTTAGCTGTGGATCTCTGCTTCTGCTTCCATCATGTACTGGATGAAGGCTCTAGGATGACATTTAAGGTAGTCATCAATCTCATTATAGGGGAAGGACATTTAAGTTAGTCTCTTCACTATTGCTTAAATTCTTAGTTGGGGTCATCCTTGTGGATCCCTGGACATTTCCCTAGTGCATGATTTCTTTTTAAACCTATAATGACTCCCTCTATTAAGGTATCTCTTTTCTGGCTCTCCTCTATTCTTCCCTCAACTCAATCTTCCTGATCCCTCGTGTTTTCCTCACCTCTCCTCTTCTCTCCTCTTTCTCCTCCCTCCCTCCCCTCTCCATCATGCTCTCAATTTGTTCAGGAGCTCTTGAGAATGGGGTAAGTTTTAATTTGCATTTTCCTAATTGCTAAAGATGTTGAACATTTAAAAAACTGTTTCTCAGCCATTCTTATTTGTCTTTGAGAACTCTGTTTAGTTCCAAGTTCCATTTTTTTAAATTGAGTTGCTTATTTTCTTGGTGTTGAGATCTTTGAGTTCTTTGTATATTTTAGATCTAACTCTCTGACAGATATATATCTGATAAATATTTTCCCCATTATTTAGGCTTCTTTTTCACTTGAAAGATGATTTCCTTTGTTGTATGAAAGCTTTGTAGCTTCATGTAGTCCCATTTTTCAGCTGTTGGTATTAAAGCCCATGCTATCAGGTCCTGTTCAGAAAGTCCTTTACTGTGCCAGTGAGTTCATGCATATTTCTACTGAATCAGATTCAGGGTATCAGGTGTAGGGAGAGACCCCATACCTGTACCAATGACCACGCCTGGCTGGGTGTAGTCACAGGTACATAAAGGGTAGGTTAAAGGGCTAGACAGAGCTGGGCTTGCTCTCCTTCAGGGTTCAGCCAGCTTTGGGAAGCATCTGAGACCAGACTTCTCGGAGTGCCAAATCTGGTTACTGATTCCTCTTGTGAGTACATATTTCCCAATAAATTACCAGTTAATAACCTATTTCGGGTTCCATTTGTGTTCCTCATTAATCAGGTCTTATATCAAGGTCTTTGATCTATTTGGAGTTGAGTTTTGTGAAGCTGAGAGGTAATGACTTATTTTCATTCTTTTACATTTGGCTATCCATTTTGATCAGCACCATTTGTTGAAGATGCTGTCCTTTTTCCAGGTGTATTATTGTTGGTCTCTTGGAGTCAAATGAGATGGTTGTAGGAACATGTAGAGCAAATAATAGAAACCCAGAGACAGATATTGGGGTTCAAGCTGAATATCTAATAAGCAAAGCAGTCAAGCCACCAGAGAGCTCTTACCTCTACTAAGGATGGGGAGATCCTGTGCTCAATGTGGCTGGAGACTAATTGCCTAAGACTGAATGCCAGCTCTGAGACCATACTCCTGTCTTATATAACTCTCTAGTGCTGAGATTAAAGACATGAACTCTGTTTCTCTTTTAGATTGTTTCACTCTCCTGTAGCTCTGAGTAGCTTGGAACTCACAGAGAGCCACCTGCCTGTGTATCCTGAGTCCTGGGACTAAAGTTGTATGCCACTACTGCCTGGCCTCTATGGCTGTGGCAAGCTTTGCATTCTGATCTCCATGCAAGCTTTATTAGATCATGAACAATATATCACCACATGGGTCTTCGGTTCTATTTCATGGATCAAAGTGTCCGTTTTTATGCCAGTGTCGTGCAGTTTTAATTACTATAGCTGCCTGGTGTAACTTTAAACCAGAGTGATGTTATCTTCAGCCATTGTTTTATCATTCAGAATTGTTTCTGTTCTTTTGGGGTGGTGGTGGTGGTGGTGGTGGTGGTGGTGGTGGTGGTGGTGGTGGTGGTGGTGTGTGTGTGTGTGTGTGTGTGTGTGTTTCAAATAACATTTAAGATTAATTTAGTCAGCTTTTGATGGTGATTACATTGAGTCTGTAAATTTCTTCTAGTAGAATGGCCATTTTCACAGTATTAGTTCTATCAATCCATGAGTATGGACGTCTTTCCATATTTTGTTATCTTCTTTGATGTCTTAAAATTTTATTGCAAGTTTTATTTTTATATTTCTTCACTTCTTTAGTTATATTTGCTGTAAGGTTTTTTGAAGATATTGTGACTGGGATTATGCCTCTGATTTCTTTCTCATTAGGTTTGTCATTTGTATGTAGAAAGGCTATTTTGTAACCTGGTATTCCCACTGAATACATTTATCCTCTGTAGGAGTTTGTGGTGAAATCTTTAGGGTCTCTATGTATAGAATTTTGTTATCTGCAAATAAGGATACTTTGACTTCTTCTTTTTCTATGTGTATTCCCCTTTCTTAGTCACTGTCATATTGCATCAGCAAAAACTTCAGGCACTGTATTGATCAGGAATGATAAGAGTGGACATCCTTGTCTTGCTAGTTTATTGGAAATACTTTTGAGTTTTTCTCTATTTAACATGATGTTAACTGTGTGTTGTCTATTGCCTCTATCATGTTCAGATACACCCCCTGTATCCCTAGATTTTTGGACTTTTATCATGAAGAGATGTAAGGGTTTTGTCAAAGGCCTTTTCTGCATCTATTGAGATGATCACATACATGGTTTTGGTCCTTGAGTCTGTTTGTGTGGTGGATTATGTTGATTGGTTTACATATGTTGAACTATTCTGGTGTCTCTGGGATAAAGCTCATTGGATCTTGTTGAATAATTTTTTGATGTGTTCTTTTAGTTTCGCTGGGAAACCAAAACATTTAATATTTTCTTTTAAAATTAGGCGAATCACACTCAGTTTTGAAGATAATTTTCAATGTAAATGTTTATTATCCTTATAGCTATCAATGTAAGCAGTTAAACTTAAGCTTAATATTTGCTCTTTTCAGATTGATTTCTACAACTTTAAGAGTAATATATGTCCCGTGGTATACATCTATTGTCAACTCACACAAGGCATTGGCTCATCCCCAGCATCCTCATCCCCAGTTCCAAAGTGATATGAATTGCTTAATGTTGCAAAACATCTCTTTGACATTCCACAGCTATTGTGAATGTAATGAAAGTTGAAAAACTCTTCACAGTTGTTCAGGGTATCAAATGACTTAAAAAACTTGTTACTGCTGAGAAATAAGTTTATTTTGAGAGAACCTATTACATTTTGGTTCTCTAATAAAGTCAAATTAATTAATGGTATGTCATAGAATCTGTGTCTATTAATATTGAAGTTAGGGAAGCCCAAAGCCTTTCAGAACATCAGAGCATGGATGATTTCTGTTAGTAGGACTTTGGAAAGAAATGGACAGACTCATTTCAAACTCAGGTGGTGTTAGCTGTGGAGGGTATTCAGGTTGAAAGTCACACAGGGCCAAATCCCACTTGTAACATTTGCAGGGTCCTGTATACCTGTAGGGTCTAGGATTAGTCCTCTTTTGTTTGAATCAGGACAGCACTTCACTTAGAATCAGAGTTACATGGGTCAAAGGATAGACTCAGAGTTGAGTGTTTATTCATCTTTGTCCTTCCATTTGCAGAATTATTAGTTAAATAAAACATAGGTTTAGAATCATAGCACAGTAGCCAACATGCATAGGTAAAAACACCACCACCAGTAAAAATACAAAAACTGCATCAAGGCCCTGACTCCTAAAATAGTATGTGAATTTTGGTCAAGTGAAGAATGGTCATAGTCTTCTGCCAGAGAACTCACTTTCTTTGTAGCTCAAAGTCTGCATGTAGCTAAGAGCTATCTACCCTCAAATGAACAATCATTTTCTTTTTACATTTCCTGGTATAATGCCAATTTATAGTTAATTTGAATAATTTATTATATTATCCTTTTAATACTTGTTTTCTTTGTTGAGGCTTGGACAAGATAATCAATTCTATTTTCCCCATGGGTTCCGAATCTACTAAGAAATGAGATAGGAATCAGATAAAAATATCAGTCACACTTCTGGTGTCTGATGGCTCTGCTGCCAAAAGAGGATGCCAAATACCCTAGACCTGGAGTTACCTGTGAACCTCCTGGTGTGGCTGCTGGGAACCATGCATGGGTCCTCTGGAAGAGCAGCATGTTCTCTTAACTAGTGAGCCTCTCTCCAGCCCCAATTCCAGAAGTCTTTACCTTGCAGGAATCTTGCAATCTCTGGTATTAAAAAGAAGTTTCACTCCTTTTGAACAAATGGCTTGCTAGAGTTTGATGAGGCTGTGGGAAATTCCTGGAGATGCTGGCTAGGGGGTAGTTAAGAAGGAAACAGAGACTGATATTCCTCATTGGAAGCTGGATTAGTTATTTGTTTTTTCTTCCCACAACCCAAAAGGCAGTACTTGAAACTCATTTTCTTATATACATTATATACATTTTTCGGGGCACCAGCTCCCTGTTTATTGCTGTAATAGCACATCTGTAATATGACGCTACAAGACAAGTTCTAACAATAGGAACAGCAGGAGAGAGGGATGAGGAAAAACCAGAACTAGTTCAGGAGGTCAAGGGTCGTGGCGAAAGAAGTCCTTCTGATGACTGGCTTTCTCCCAGGAAGGTGGACATATGTTGGGAGCCAAATCTCAGGGCTTGGCATGAGATCCTAGGCCATGCTTGGCAGGCCACATAGTTAACCTTTAGCAGCTCCTTAGAACCTCAGCTCAAGAAAAGAAACAACTTGACCCAGTCCTCCACCCACAGGCTCAGTCACCTAAGCAACCCTTCCTGGACCTCTTACTCATAAACTCTTTACCCTGCCAAACATCCTCTTTGTGGCTTCCTAATATCCTGCCTATACCAACACCTGGTGCACAAACAACCCACTCTACCCCTCCCCATATCCTGCTCTGCTGACTATATAAGCTAGTCTGAGAAAAGTAAAGTTTGCCACTTGATCAGAATCCTGTATTGTGGTCGTTCTTTCCGTGTCTCTTGTCCCCATTCCATATCCCTGACTCTCTTGCCCCAGGTTGATGTCCTGCAGGTCGGGACAAACATATGAAGCCCATGTCTGGATTCTGAGAGCAATGAAGAATTGAAGGGTTGAGAAGCTCAACCCAACAGTGTATCTCAGCATTCTTTATTTCAGAGGGAAGTGGGGAGCTCATCTTTGACCCATTCATGATAAGGCCTAGCTGATGCTTTGGGCAACAATAGGTGGTAGTCATTATCTGATTTAGAATTTGCAGCTATTAATAACAGCCCATCATACAGTGCCATAGTGAGGTAGCTGTCGTTCTGGTCTTGGAGCCTATGTACTCTAGTTAGAGGTGCCCATCAAGATTCAGAGGGGCTTCTGGGAAGCTCTTAACTTAATGGAACAGGGACTTCAATCTGCTTCTTAGTTCAGATGTCTCTGTTTTTACACATTAGCAAAGTTCTAGGTGTCATCTTCCAACCATTGATCAGTGCTATGAGACTGAATGAGTAGGCAGAAGGAGGCTGCCATGACTGTACCATGATTCATTCCTCTTTCCAGGTAACAGATGGGCTGAACAGGGAGTGGGGCTAGAGGGAGAGCTATGTCTCTGTAGAAAGACAAGTTGTTCACGTGCTGCACAGTACATTTTTGATATAGGGAAAGGGGTTTGGGGGAGGCAGCAACTTGGTATTAGGCATGAACCGTATGGCATTTTTTATGAAGGGTGGCCACTATGGCCTTGCTGTTGAGACTATGTAGATTAACAGTGCCCACAAATGATAGGTTTGCCTGTGATGTATGTCATAGCAAAAGAAGCTTTCAACTTAATCATCAATTGTGTCAAATTTGTAAGGACAGTACTGTCCATGAGGCAAGATGTTTGAGTCAAAGAATGATCAACCAAGACTGTGTTAAACTTGGACTATAGCCCATGGCTTCACTGCCCACTAAAGCTGTCTCCATAAACAGTACCATCGAAGGTGTAAGGAAGTCATTAAGGGTCATTATCTTGTAGATAGCTAGTCTTGTTCCTTAGTGCTACATAAAAGCCTGAGTTATGTGCAAGGGTGATGGCTTCCTTGCCATAGCCCTTTTCAAACAACTGCACTGATGAGGTCACCATGGTTTTGGAGGGCAGGGTAGGGAAATCACACACTAGGCATGTGTGCATAGAGCTGCTTCATGGCACTGGCATGAAGTGGATCACAGGAGCGATGAGAGTAATAAAACCACTGTCCAAAGCCAACAGGAAATTTTGGCAAGATTAGTAGACCTCTTTACTCTCTCAACTCCACCACAGAAGGTGACAACACAAGGGTGCTGGCAATGCCATATAGCCATGACATTCCAGAACATGCCTATGTGATGCTGGGCCTGAAAGATCTGTAGACTCCTGGAGAGCTTGCCTGATTGTGGAAGTCACAATGAATGTCCCCATCACTTTCCCTTCCAACTTGCTGACAACACATTCATAGTGCTGGATTGCAACATCTGCACCCACATTCCTGGTGATGAGATGATCACACATCTAAAGAGAGAACCCAGATCTTCTGGATTTAAGCTCTTGGAACCCACAAGGTCCTTTGGTATCCCAAACCTGCCATGCAGAGTTCCCTTGGCAGCACTGAGTTTGGTAGTTTTGAGTGGCCCCTTCCTCATCTGAGTTGTTATCTGGGGCTTGAAGCTGCTGAGCAGGCCCAGTTCCCGGAACCAAGTTAATCTCTTCAGATAGGGAAGCCTCTGGGGTCCCACGGGCGGTGGGAATGCTATCATCCAGGACTTCTTTCTTACACAACTGTCTACTTCCATATCTAAGAGCATTCGCCTTTCTCTTTTGGAACATCTGACTTCATGACTGGATGGGTTTGTCCACATCTATCCCATGAGTCCAGCTGAACTTCTCTCT